AGGCTGGTGAGCTTACTATTCCTAAAGCTTACTGTTCCTAAACTGTGTCGGCTCACAATGCGGGGTCGTCAACGCTCCACCCCCTGAAACACATCCAGGGGGGTCGCACACCAGTGCACACCCACGTACCTACTCGGAATTTTCAGGGGCCTTTGACGTCTTGCGGGGGTGGTCGGAGGCCTGGCCTGATTGAGCTGGTCGGGGACGGCCTGGGCTTTCAGCTTATATCTGGGCTTTCAAGTTCCTAGGTACCTTAGCTCTCTGTTTCATGTGCATGTTGCTCACGTTCGCAGCCCTGCTAACTGCCAGGCCGGGATGTACCAACAGGCTACACACCGTACCTGGATCAATTTGTGAATGGAGGAGACTGGTCCATGCCTGCATGAGGACAAAAGTCTCATACCTGCTATGGGCTGGCAGCATTGGAGCTGGGTTAGCAAGATCCTACGGACCTACCAGATTGAAGCTAGGTGGGCCAATCTTTAGGGACCACCTTCACCTTCAGTAGCCAAGCTAAGACTACAAATCACGAAAAGGCTTCTAATCAAAATTACTGAGAGAGGATCCACATACTCAGCAGCATTATCCTAAGCAGGTATCCCTCGTGTTTGTGAGGTAGGGCGCGCGCTCGGGCTTTGCCCCTGACTTTTCATTGTGACTTTTCTGGTTCTCGTTCATTTTCCTGGGATCACCGATCTTTGCAGTTTCTGACAATAGGGACAGCCTGCATACTGGGTGTCACCCCCAAATCTGATGGAAGATAAAAAGCAGGACCTTGAAGCGCCGCCAGCTGGCGCTGAGATCCATGCTGGGTGGCGATACGTGGAACACGTGTTTCCAGCTTCCTGGCAGCTGAAGCATGCTGCGGGGCCAACGAGCATTCTCAGCCCAACAGTGTCGGTCCACGAGGTACCGCACCATGGGGTGCGCACAATCACAACTGCAAGGAGGTGCGCAAATGCAAACTTTCCCAAGATCTCTTTTTTAGAGTTGAGAAACCCTCTACATTATTATCTCTCAGAAGGAGGTATGTACAGCGCCCTTGACATTGCGATTGGCGGCGTAGTGTTGTACTGAGTTGTTTGGTCGGGGATGGTGCACAAACCCGGGCTCCGAGAATCCTACACAAAACAGATCATCCATGGGCATGCTCAGGTTTCTCTGGTCTCCGGCTAATATCGCATGCATAACCAGGCTCAACTTGCCCTTTCAGCGATCTGGTATACTCGAGCAATCCCGGAAAGCTTAGATGCTTTTGTGAAAGCCCGCTTGCCTAATACTGCCGACCTCAGTGCTGGAAACAAAAAGACCGCCTTCAGAGAGCGCCAAAAGTGTGTATGTACCCAGATTTATATCGTGACTTTACAGCTTACATCTCATCACATGTGGCGTTGTCCACCAGGACAAGGAAAGGCCGGCATCCAATCATTGAGGCCGTGTCGGAGGAGCGGAAGATCGAGCATGTCCGGCCGAGGACGCTGATCCATCCGTTCGGCTATAAGCTATGGGGATGGGCGCCACGCAACATCTCTTATTGGGTTGGGGTGGTGAGTTGTCGGCCTTTGTGCAAAAACTTTGGTATGGTTGCTTGGGTGAGGGCATTGGGACCTTTCTTTTGGGTAACCCTCGCTCGTGTGAAGTAGTCCATGTGAGAAGCCCAAGTGCCCCTTACTTCGAATCATCGCAAGATGCCAGAATTGTGATTCAGGGCACGGGAACATCCTCACTAGGGTCTCCTTGCTCTTTCCTTCTCAAAGGCATGTTTGTTACCTGAGGTGCTCTTTCTTGATCAGACTGCCTCAGTCATGGTCGATGCCAAACAAGGAGCGACTGCAAGAATTCAAAATCGGTGGACAGCTCTTTCGAAGTGACAAGCTTGACTTGGTCACATCGTCCAGAATGTATCAAACTTTTGATTCTCAAGTATTACCCCGTTGCGCTCAAGGCTGCAAGCCATAAAGAAAGGAAAGGAAAGCGGAGGTACTGACACGGTGTTCCTGTTTCGCAGGCCTTCACGGTGGGGTCCATAGCCTGGGTTGTGAACGGCACGTTTGCGATGTGGCCGCTCAAGAATGAGAGGGTCAACCTGTACGTTGTTGGCTACACAGCTGTCCTGGGAGGGTTCCTTTTCGAAGTGGGCTCCATCCTGGCCTTTTGGGAAATGGTCAACAGCAATTGCAAGTGAGTGGACTTCAGAAGCCTCCTGTTGGTATCAGACACCTTCCAGCATTTAATCCTAGGAACAAGCTGCACAGGGCCGTTTTTACTTGGAGATACCAGTGCTGGTATCAAGCTTTCTCTTTGTTGAATTGCAACTTTTTTTGCCCGCGTTACTTCTAAACAAAGAGAGCAGTCAGTGCAGATAAATCATTCTAGCTACAGTGTCTTCCAATCTTTGCAAGGGGCGAGGACACTTTCAGTGCTCGTCAAACGTATTTGTACTTAAGCGATCGGAACATTCACTGTAGCTTCAAACATCCCTCAAACGTTGTTCCCTGCTTCGGAGCTGGGCATTCTCAAGGGACAGATGAGGGAGGTTTGGGCTTCCCTGGTTAGGTCAGCTGTAAATCACCTACCTCACCTTCGTCCAATCCCTCGTTTTTAGGAACATCGACGTGGGCCACCGCATCGAGCACGACCCTGAGGGGCGCACCACACGCGTCTACCACAGCAAGAACGACGCCTCCTACCACCGCCTCGACGAAGCGGCGCAATCGCTTGACGACAAAGTGCAGAACGGCACGCACTTTGGCGATGGAGACGGGCTACACAACGGCCACGGATTTGAGAACGGGGTTGTCGGTGAGGGGGTGGGCAAAGGGCGCGAAGCCCCGATTTCAAGCAGGGCGGAGAGGCACGCGGAGGCGAAGCAGAGGCGGCGCAAGTGGCTGTGGTGTGCGTGGCGGCCGCGAAGCTTGTCGTATTGGACGGTCACGTCTCAGGTACGGGGGGATCATCCCGACAGGCCGTGTGGCTGTGTGTCTAAGTCGTTCGAACTCTGGCCGTCCAGCTTAGAGATGATCTGGTGTCGTGCTGGAGCGCTTGTTCTGCCGAGCTCGGGTGTACCCGTGTCGCTTCGATGCACGCTGCAAGAAGCACTTTTGATTGCAAGAACGCTAACGGCTTGATTCGATTTCATGACGGATCCGTCACTCTCGGACTTGTGAGAGGCAGCCGTCAATAGTTTGCACCGATCTCTCTGAGCATATGGCGGGTTATGCTAAGCCGAGCTCCTCTCCTCCTTGCAGCTGATTGGTGCCACCATTTTCGGCGTCCCGGCGTGCATCACGGGAGTCCCCCACGTGCTGTGGTTCGACTACCCCCCGAGCCACTGGCAGGGCTGGCTCATACTCTACTGGCTGCCGCAGGTCAGCCGCAGATCCTGCCCGCCCTTTTTGTTGGATGTACTGTCGAGGGGTTGCGTCTATTTTAACGTTCTGGGTTCTCGTGCCTTCACTTTGATGCATTGGAATCCTTGACTAGCTTGGAGTACAGACAAACTAGACGCTTTTGCCCAATTGTGCTTGGTATCCAAAGCCTGCGAGTTCCGCGAACCTCTGAGAAAGAGACTCGATCCTTGATTGGGCATCCTAAGGACTGCTGCCAGAGTGCAACCATTGCCGCAGCTCGACCTCGCTTGAAGAAGCCAGTGTGGCCAGCGTGGAGTTGATCAACCAAGGCTGTCAATCGTCTATTCACGCTTTCTAAGACTCGTTGTCTTTTAACCCCAGCCATTCCGAGCTCGATCCATTCCGTCGCTTCCTTTGTCGGCCTGCCTCTCCATTCATCCGCGGTAGATTAGCATGCACTGCGCTCTACTTATCGTTCCAACCAACTGTAGCAGCACGACCTTGCTTTCATCTGGTGATATAACTCAACGCTATGAAAGAATTCCTCTCCTGTCGCCCGCAGATGATTGGTTCCATCTTCTTCATCATCAATAGCTACCTCACTATGGTCGAGAGCGCGCACTCGTGGTTCGGGATCAAGTTCTGGGACCTCGGGTGGCAGGCCGGGTTCTGGAACCTGTTAGGAGCCATCGGGTTTCTGCTGTCCGGCCTCTTTGGCGCGCTCGTGTATCCGACCGAGTGCTGCCAAAAGTGGGGCACGTATTTCTCCACTTGGTGGGGGAGTATCTTCTTTTTGATCTCGAGTTACTTACTCATACCTGAGGCGCTAAATAAGTAGGCGGTAAACGAGATATTGCGTGTCCATGCTCGCTTTTGACATGTAAGCAGATGCGTTATTTTGGCGGCCTAGCTTGCAACGGATAGTGAGATCAGGAGGAATAATTTTGTCTCCAATGCCGTGGTCGGAAGCGACCGCACTAGTAGCAAGGATGCGTTTGTAAACGAAGAGAGTCACAGCTAGAGAGCTGCTCTACCGGATTTTGTCACAACGGACTGGTCAAAGAGCTGCTAGGATGTCGTGGGACGTACATAATATCATTCAAGTCGAGTTGCGGTTTGGAGTCGCTGGTCACGTTAGTGTCGACGTTTCTCAGTAACAGGCGCGCACTCGTCAAAATGTAAAAGCAAGGCCGGGCACACGCCAGAAATGTCGTCAATTTGAGCCGCGCAACGTCTCGTTTGCATGCTTAGATGTTCTTGTCGCCCATGCAGAATTTTGAGTTAACTTTCATGGTGCCCCTCGCGTGTTGTCTTTAAGTAGGTTGAAATTTAGACTTTGGCCATGGCATGTTTCGATTGGGCACAGTCTGGGTGATCTGAAGCTGCTTGCCATTTCTGGTTGCCGTATGCGTCCAACCTACTTTAACATTTCGAACGTGAACGAGGTTGCCTACAAGGTGGATGATGTACCAGATTAGTATGAAGAATATGATCGACATCGAACAGGCTAAGCTCCATGTATTCATCAGGCGTCGCGACTCATCGTTGCCAGATCGATGTCACACGGCGGCACATGATGCGCACGTATAGTTGCTTGACGATCAACCGTCGCGGTCATGTGGCTTTGGTTGGGGACTGCCAACAATGGACTCAATGCGGATCTGGTGGCATAGAAGCGCTGACCCGGCCGTGTGCCCGTGTTCTTCCGTTCCAACATCGGGCCCATGACTAGGATCGAAACTGCTCGATCTCAAATCATACGAGTACTTTGATGGTGGCTTCCTGACCACTGAAGCTCCTGGGTCATTAGGGCATGAAATCTGTACGGCTGTACCATGTCAACCATATACCTAACCTCGACCGTACACACCGAGCATCCTAGATTGAATAGGTACGTTAACACGATTGTTTTTCTGAGCGGAATGCGTCGCCTCAACCCACCTCACCACCTCCGGGCTTCAGCCACTGAACGTCAACAATCTGCGCATGCATGCAAACTTGCGCACAGAAGCGTCAAGCCTCGGATTGCTTCCTGCCATGCCTGGCGGTGCCAGACCCGCCGCCGACCTTAAAGAACAATGACATTTTACATCTTTAAAAATGCGTGGTACAGTCAAAGTAAGACCAAATGGCCTAAACATCTCGTCAGGGAAAGGGAAACGCAACATCCGCATTCAAATGAAAAGCGGCTCCTCTTCGTAGATCCTCCTGATCTGTGACAGCACCCGGCAAGGATTGGGATGCAGGAGCATCTCAGGTCCATTTTAGCTAGCGCTTTCCTTCTCTCTCGCGGGTGCGCCAGCTTTCGTAAACTCCCTTAGCGCATTTCTGCAATGGCTTTCAGATCAGGTTTTCATCAGCTCCCGGAGGAAGTTTTGGACATCATCACAAGGAAAGTGCTTCAGGGCAGCCTCCAGAGCTTTCGTGCGCTTGAAGGAGCGAGCAGAGAGCTCCGTGATTCTGTGAGGCGATGCACCACATGTCTGGTCGTGAATCCTCAGGAGTCTGGAAAAGCCGCCACGTGCAACACAAAGAGAGGTCAAACAACAGTCTGCAAGGAAACACAGGAAAATAACCCAGAGTGCTCGGAGCGATCAAAAGAGATTCTTGCTGAAGAGTTGACCAAGAGGAGTAGCCTTCGCAAGCTGGTTCTTATTAACCCTGGCTATCTCAGTGTTGAGCGCACGGAAAACTCCATTTTAAGGACACTTTCCAAGTTTTCCTGGTCAGAGTGCTCATTTGACGGATCCCCTAAGATCAGTCGTTTGACTCGATGGTGCCCAACCGGAACAAACATAATGATTTCTTCTGACACCAGCCTCAGAAAGTTGACTTTGGTTAACCTTGAGTTCTGTTCATCTAAAGCAGTCGCAGCTCTTCTTCAAGCTTTCCCTAATCTCGTTTCGTTGACTCTGGGGGATAATATATAGGAAAAGGGCGAAGCTACGTGAAGCACGAGAGCCTGCGCGAACTAGATATTTCAGAATTAATAAGCACCGAGTATGCTGGTCAGATCGTCACCACTACAGCTGCACTTCCCCGTGCTTTGCGGGGCGTTTATTTGGCGTTCGATCTGCCAAACTTGCAGAAGCTGAGCGTGACTTTGTCCAACGGTGATCGGATGGGGCCATGCTTTGACCTGAGAGCTCCAAGCTTTGCCTTTCCGAGCGGTTTGAAGGCCCTTCTATTGCAGTACCTCCACTGGCCAAGCGGCTTCCCTTTCCGTCTCAATACTCCGGCACTGTACTCCCAGCTCGCAAAAGATTGTCCCCAGCTTCAAGAGCTACAGTTTTGTTTGTATGCTCCGGCCGACAACCCAGAGGTGGACCAAGCTCGTCGTTGGATTTCGGAACAGCAAGGCTTACCCCAAGAGTGTCCCCTTCTTGAGGAGCTGAGCATCTACATGAAGTACTCGCCGAAGAGAGGAAGGTGGGGCTTGGTGAAGTCGTTTCGTAGGAGTGCAACAGTTCTTTGCTCGTAAGCAAAGGTGATAAAGTAATACTGGCTTTGCGCGGTCGAGTAAACGACAGAGTCACTTGCTTGGCAACCAGTACAGAACCAGTTCCAATCCGGGTACTGGAGCTCGACTCGAGAACAGCTGATCAGCAGATTTTGTGGTTCCGAGGCTCTTGTGACAGAACCGTCGGTTTCATCGTATCTGGTCGCTTGTGAAAGTCCATTCGCTTTGGCGGAAACCATTCGTAGAATCTGACTCGATGTGGAATATGAGTCCTTTATGGACAAAAGCACATTTGCCTTCGTAGAGCTAGCCTCATGCGATTGTTCTATTAAGGTGAGAGCATGTTGTGCTCCATCACGACAGTCCGCATGCATTGCTTTTCATATTCAGGCCCTACACTCTTGAAAGGGTCTTATCATTGTGGCTGGCTGCGAATTAGCTACGGGAGCATACGACTAATATATATGACTTATAAGGCGTACGCATATTAAATACGTGCGCAGTCGTGGCATCAGTGGGCCGCCAGCTGCGCAATATTCTTATATTTGCAACACTGATTTCTGTGGCGGCACATATGTGGCATATAGTATGGAGATACCTGGCCAGCCACATACACGATCAGTGATTGACCCTACATGCAGCTCCGCCGGTGCATGCAAACCAATGATAATGAAAGCCAGCCGCATATGCACGTCCAATTCATGGTAGCCTGAGTGACCACATACCCGGCGATTACGCGCATGCCATGCCAAGAGTCCTAGCATGCACGTGATATATGTTGCACTGTGGCAGCCAAACGGTTCGATCGCCGCACTGGATCGACGGGGTCCACCGATGTCACTGTTTTTACGGAACGCTGTTTCCTTCGATGAGAACGTCGTGCATAAATGACCGCATATGCAATCCGCTCAGACTTATATGCAGTTGAGCACAACTGTTATCGAGGTCGATTTAGAGACAAGTTGTTGGGCACAACAGGACACACTATCCCACGACCCGAAATCGACGCCACATAAATGCATTATGGTACAAGAAGTCAAGACTGCTGTGCCAACCCGCCTTTTGTCAACACCTGAGCTTGGAAGACCAAAGGCCTAGAGATTAAGAAGTCCTAGGTACCAGATTTAACTTAAAGGCTGCAATTTCCATCGGCCCTATTCGCACACTCCCGCCCCAACCCGGAACGGCGTCCTCCGAACCGCCTTCGCCCAGCACTCGTTGAAGCGACCTTCTGTGCGTGCCTTCCCTTCCCTGCTCATCTTGTCTTGAGCTGAGCCCTTGGGCAGATGCCACGTCAGCATCATCCTCCCCACCTCCTCCTAACAACAACCGCGCCACCGTCTTCCCGAACCCGGCCCCTGCTTCGAGCGGCTGGTCGTGCATCAACGTAAGGCTGGTTCTAGTTACCCGCTTCGTCTCAAACCCTGCGAACATAGCATCGAGCTGGAACAACCCATCAGCGCCCACCACCTTGGCGGGCTTATCCGCAACACCCACAAGACTCCCCAACCCGTATGAACAATCATAACCCCGCCTATGCAAAAGCAACGCCGCGCCCGGCACACTCGTCTTCGCTTCCTTCGTCGGCCTCATGCTCTTGAGATTCAGAATCTCAAGGTCGGACGGAAGACACGTGGGCAGGGCGTTGTATTTGGAGCCAATCTCGGATGCTTCCGAATCTTCTGGCGGGCCCACAAACGCGTGGACTGTGTGCGCGAGCCTGTTGGTGACTCGGTGGGAGAGGAGGGAGGGGTGCCAGGGCTGCGGAAGGGGCCCTGTCAGGGACACATTCGCTTCCACCGTGAGGTGGAACACGACTTCGTTGGGGTGGTTGTCGGTGACGCCCTGGCCCAAGCCCCGGTTGTCGTCCTGCGGCAATGGGAAAAAAGTGGTTTCGGGAGCTGGCTGGTGAGAGCGACCGCTCTTATTGTTGTTGTGATCAAACACGAAGTGAATTCAACATATGAAGATATGGGTTAAGAGGTCGGAGTTCAGGGAAGAAGCCGAGGTGACATCGGGTTGTGTCTTCTCGACAATATGTCCACAACATTGACTGGACGTGGTATGAGACGACAGCTCCAATAGGAACACCCTTCAGATGCAGATGACGAACTATATCCGCCCTTCTTTTATCCATCCGTTATCAGAACCCTGCTCGTATCTGCGAATCCTCTCCGTCAAACCCGGTCCAAAACTGCTTCAACTTGTGAGCGGCCTTCCACAGCTCCTGCTCTAGTCCTGCTGGACTTGCAAACAATGGTCGAAGCTGATGCGACACCTAAGCTAAACTCTGAGGGAGTTGAATCTGATACAAAGCATACCATCTCGAGCAAAAACGGACCAAGACCATGCTCGGCTCTTGGCTTGAAATAGGGCGACCAGAAGCGGTGCGATCACCTGCACGAGTCGCCTGTCGATCATCATCTCAAGCCAGCCCGGCTTGAGGCTCGCCACCCCGACGGCCTGGCGAGTGTGCACGCTGAAGCGGCGCGTCGAGTCTTGCAGGAATGCGAGCGCGGGCATCGGGTAGTAGTTGCCCTGGAGGGGGATCTTGGAGAACGTCTCCCGGCGCGCCATCTGGCAGGGGGAGCAGAGGACGTGTGTCAGTGACCCTTAGCTTTCGAGACTCGAAGGCTCGAGGCTTTCGCCTGGCATGCAGTGCTGGCTGCTGTTGCATGCAGACTGTGATGCCCACACGCCGGGTGCATATGGGTCCGCATCGACCGAAAGCTGCAAAAGCTTTTCAGATTCTTTCGAGCTTTGAGCCAATTGAGTGGTTCAGTAGATGCACGCGATTACAAAGGTACATACCGAAGCAGTATTTCACCTGGAAAGTATCGTACCTCATATTTGGCGGTACTACAAAGGCAACACTGGAGGCCAAGTAAATTTTCGGTCGATGCGAATCTCAAGATTGTGCCGAAAAGGGACCAGGAAAGACTTAGATGGCCCTCTCGCAGTTAGGTATCGTCTGAAACGACAGGCACAGCCAAAGAGTCAAAAGGTGGCCCGTTAGAACTGATCGCTCCTTCCCAACTTGAAAGCATCGAAACTTTGATTGAATAAGTGGCCCTGACTCACCGTCTGCTTTTTCACATGCCAAGAAATCAGTGTTGCACTACAAGAGCCGGGCATCCCAAACAGCAAACAGCGCTCGACGAAAACAAGCCCAGAAAAGGATGACAGCGGCAACATACCTGGAGACCGTTGAGGTCGCTGTGGAAGACGGGCCCGCTCTCGACGTCCGTCCTGTACCGCACGATGAACTCGCGGTCGTCGAAGGCTGCGTCCCCGATTGCCACGTGGTGGTGCATCTCGACAAGAGAGCCCTGGACGGTGCGACCCGCGTACAGGCGCGCAGAGCGGACGACAGGATGGCGGTCCGGGAACGTGGTCCGGAACTGCAGCGATGGATAGGAGTCAAAGAAAGTCACGACAGGCAAAATAGTATGTAAAACTAAAAGCGAGAATGATCCTTTTGCGCCAGTCTTGGGAGAGAGATTGAAGCCACAGTCAAAGAAGGTGCTGGATATTGATCACAGCAGTAGAAGAACCAAGAAACACAACGATGCCCAATCCACTTTTCGTGGAGCGACTGCCACGATGGAACAGTAAAGAAGGAAGAATGACGAGATGGACAAAGGACAGGAGTGCCTAGAGGCAGGGTACTTCGAGAGGTGTCGCGCAAAGTCCAGTCCTGAGAGATACAAGGGCAAGAATGGCCGACCTTGCTGTGGATCTCTTTGAAGAGGGGTCCCTCCGTTACGAGAACTTGCCCCCCCGCCACGACAATCTCCTCCGCCTCACCGATCGGCAGAAATAAATACGCTCCGCTTTCTTGCGTGTAGTACGCGTCGAACTCCTCGTCGATCAGCGTGACTTGGCCGGACGTGACGCCGGGAGAGGGCGCAGTGACGTGCGTTACCAGGCCCTTGACGGTTTCCACCGTGACGGACAGCTGCTCGTTGGAGATGGTGTACTCCAGGGACCTGGGCGCTGAGCATCCGTAAGGGGCGGGACACTCGAAGCCTGCACCGGGAAAACGCTTCCCGGTCAGACGGATCTGTGATTCAGTTATCAATGTAACTTTGTAATGTCAAGTATTTGTCCTCGCAAACTTGAAAGGCCCTTAATCAACATGTCAGCTTGCTTTAAATCGCTCCTTCTAACGGACTTTTGTACTCGCGTGTGACGGTTTTTGGCACTCCTTCAGTGGGCCATCCTCTTTGCATTGTCAAAAACTGCGGCTTATGCCGAAAGGTGATCATCCATGCCTTTGTTAACTGAGACCTTAAGAAGTTAGTAACAGTCGGACGAAGCTGGATTGCTCACGTATGCTAGTGGACGGAAGGCTGCAGCAGCTGTTGCCAGACGGCTAAGAAGCTCAAAGCCAAGGAGAGTAGTAAACCGCACAAACCTGCAGGCAACCGTTTGAGCTCCTGATGACGACACTCACCTGGTTCCTGATTGAAAACCTGAACAGTCGCGCGCTGTGCCGGCCGGCAGTTTGCAGCCCCTTTCGCGAGAAAGAACGTCTGAAGACTCAACCCGGGTAGCTGCGCGCGCCAGTGCAACCGGTGCAAGCCGCCCCCCCCACTCACGTCCCATACCGGGCTGATCTGACTGTCCACCGGTCGCTTATCGCCGTCCAAAACGCATACGTCCTCGGAGGATAAGCGGACCAGCGTGCTGAAGACCTGGTCGGTGAACTCCCCCAGGGTGTTGTAGAGCACTATGCGGACCAGTCTGGAACCTAGTCGGGAGACGTCAACCGGGCGCTTCTTCGGGAGGAGATGGTGCGCGGAGCGTGACTCCTCGGGGATGAAGAACAGGGACTCCAAATCGGGGCGGCACAACGAGAGGGTGCCAGCGGGAGCAAGGCGGAGCGGTAGCAGGGCAGCCATCAGTGTCTGCAAGGGTAAAGAGTCGGAAATTAACCATGGTGGAGAGTATGTCGAGGTTTGGGTTGAAAAAGCTATGTTGATACAAATCATGTATGTTAGAGCAAGAAAGCACGCCCTGAAAGACCTCCTGAAAGACCTGAAAATCCAACCTTGCGAGATGCTAGACAGCCGGGAACTTTGTGCAGGCTGTTACAAGGCAGCAGAAGGCAAACCGGAGCCGCACATGAGGGAAAACGCCTTAGCCCTGACGCCTTAGCCCCGACGAATCAAAGGTGTTAAATCAGCGGAGAGAACGTCGTATCGCTGCCTTGGGAGACAAGACCGCAGAGCAACCGAGCTCAATACGTAGAAGGCAGAAGGGCCATCTTACTCCACTACCCTAAACGTTGCTCGAATCTTGTCCCATCTCGCAACCACATGGACACTTCCAAACAGTATTTCCGTGACAGGATACAAGAACAGAGAAATGACCCGAAGTTGGACGATTGTGGCAGAGCCAGCACAGCCCACCTGCAGGCCCTTGAGCGCCACGTGCATCTTCTCCCCGTAGTCCGCTGCCACGTGGTCCTTGGCGGTGCCGGTGACGCCATCGTGGTGCTGGAAGACGGCCAGGCTTCGCCGCGCGCGCACCAGGTGCGCGTGCAAGGGGTCCAGGCTCCCGCGCGCGCACTGGGGGGCGCTCAGTGTGAATAGGATCTCGGCCGCGCGGAGCGTTTCCTCGAGGACGCGGTCGACCGACTTGTAGAAGGGGCGCGAGACGTAGTACCTAAGACAAAGTTGATGGTCTCGTCAAGGAGGGCCGTGACTTCTTGCAGAGTCCGCCACTTCGATTTTCAAATATAAGTAAGCCTGCTCTGACGACAGGTTGAACACTCACATGTTTTGCTACGGCCCTGTAACTGGGAATCGCACTGAAACTCCTGAAGATGAAGTCGAACCATGTTAAAGGAGAGAAGTCTGAGCAAGCCAACCGCTTCATCTCAGCGGCTGCAACACCGTAGGATCAAGCGCAAACCCGGCGTCACACCTCTTCTAGGGGACCCTTACCCGCTCCAGTAGTCTTGCATCCGGTCCGCATACGTGAAGAAGTCGCCGGAAAGCACCGAGAGGCTCCCAGGCGCCGGGAGAAGCGTATCCGATTGCATTGGCACGTCTAGCGGAGAATCCGCGGCCAGCTCCTCCCTCAGCGCCTGGAAGTAGTCTCTAAGGGTGCCCCACTGGGCTTCCACGTGGAGGTCAGCCTGGCGGTTGATGTGATCGAAGATGGCCTGGCAATAAGAGAGCAGATATCAAGTTGAGACGCAGGTTTCGTGTGATCAGAAGTTGGACGGGACGATACTGCTCCAAGCCTTTTATTAATCTGTTGGCTCTCTTACTTGGAATCGGGAGCAGTCTCAAGGCAAAGTCACGAAGCAGCTTGCAGTATATCAGAGAGAGAAGAGAGAAAGCATCTCCTCCGATCGCCGGGTAAACCGTGCAACGACCGAGGTTTGCGGGGACCGTCGGCTGACCTGATAGTTGTTGTACTGCAGCTCCGCTTCGAGCTGGCTCTGGTAGCGGAAGTCGTCCCCCAGCGGAATGAGCACGGCGTTCGTCCGGAACAGCATTGACTTCTTGCGCCACTGATCCAGGATCAGTTCCGCTCTCTCCTGCAACACGAGAATGATACCGTGAGACCTCGTTTCATGCAGTCCCCGTGGCAGAATCCAAGGCGAAGGGGGAACGGGAGGAAATATTCAATTCTGCCGGAGAACGGGATTGCAACAGGGTCTCACGTGAGTTGCTTCCTCTCAAGGCGGATACAAATGGATCCAACGTGGATCCAAGCCACTTGAAGCAAAAGTAGCGGCCTCGTATGAGTGGATCCGACTCGAAGTTACGTGACTTGCATTTGTGCAGCTTCACAGCTTGGACGAGAAACGGGATCGCTACCCTTTAGCCGACAGGACCACACGGCGTCGTTGCCAGAAAGTTCTCAGTTTCGATCATCGATCTTGATCAGCTTAAACATATACTTTTGGCCTCTTTATAGGGACACAAATAGCTAAGACACTGACAAAAGCACTTCGAAAAGGTGGAAACCCGGAGACAAAGATAGGAGCACTTCTAGAAACGGAGATGAAGACAGAACTCAACCAAAGAGGGTACTGCAAGCTAGATCTCCTGGTCAGCTCTCACCTTGACGTTGTGCTCGTTGACCTCCTCCGGCGCAATGTTCCAGGGACACGAGATCGTGCTCCCCGAGCGCGGCAGCCGCAGGAAGTCGAACTGGCAGCAGACGGCCGGGTCCGGCCCGCACGTGTGGGGCACATCGTAACTGTAAAACGGCATCATGTGCGTGACGATGTCCGTCGTTTCTGCGGGGTCCCACGCTTGGCGCCACACAAACTCGAGGTCCCGAGTGAGCGCGAGCTTCTTCTTGACCTCGTAGTGCGTGCGCTGGATGAGCATGCTCTCGAAGCCCGCGCGCTTGTTGATGTAGGCCATGCTGGGGGAGTGACCGAACGGGTCGATGGCCCACGCAGTGCGGGGCAGGGCAGCGGGGCCTAAGTGGTTGGCGATCCAGGCATGGCCTTCGATCATCTGGAAGGGCAACAAATGCAATGGCTTGAGAAGTTTGGTTGGGTCAGAGCTTGCAGACAGGACTGGGGTGTTGATCAACAACAAGAATAGGAACGAAACGAGTGGATACTTCGAGAAGGGTGTAAGAGGAACAGGACGGTCTCCTGGGGGAATTGACGCACAAGATTGTGTGGAGCTCGATGATTGTCCTTCTCAGATCAGCGAACCAAGTCAACACAGTCCTAAGACTGCACATTGATACTTTTTTGTGTTATCTACATGGCAGTTCGTCAATGGGCAAGTTTCTGAGAATTTTCTCAAGGAAAAAGTCCAACAAGTCCTTTCAGTGAGGGTTTATTCTCCTTGTTTGGAATGAGCAGTGACCCCCTGCATTGAAGTTATGCTTATCTCGGGTGATAAAACTTTGCAATCCTTAGGGCATGTCCTTCTACAGCGGTTCCTCGCTGGCACAAGCGAAGTCCGCTCAAACTCTGACGTTCCCGACTCTCACTTGGTCCACGATGGCAAAGTGGTGCGCGTTGGCCTCGTCGTTCATGACCCAGCCCCCCCCCACAATCTCCAGCTGCCCCGTCTGCACGAGCCACGTGAAGTCGTCCCTCTGCGCCTGCGTCACTCTCCCATCGCTCCACCACATTGACAGGTACGACATCTCCTCCCAGATGAACTTGCGCCGTGAATCCGCCTTGAGCGCTTGCACGATCACGTTCAAAATGTTGAACGTCCGCTCGTTGTAGTACTCCTCCACCGTTCGGATCCACCCCGGGTCATTGTGCGAGTGCGGCACCACAAACACGCGCAGTTTGCGCTTGTCCCACTCGCTTCCCTTATATGTGATCGGCCAGCCTTGGCGCCACACACCCCCCTCCTCATTCTTAAAGGCTATCTCGTCGTACAGCCGCTTTGTCGTGATGTTTTCCGTCCTATCGACACCCAGCGCAAAAGTGCATCCTGGCTCTTGCGCATCCACTGCCGTGCGCGTGGCGGGCCTGTCGCGCATCAGATCGTTATACTGCTCTTTGACCAACTCTCCCAAACCACCAATCTGCTGGAAAGCAAATTCAGGGACATCACCAACCTTATTTTTCAACTTCGGTGCAGCATCGCCACCGATTGGTGATTCTAGGGCGCCATCTTGAACTTGCAGCTTCTCCCCATGTGGAAAGGGGTCAGATTCCTCGCCTTCGGTGAAGCCATGATAGAAGTCATGCAAGTGGGGCAGCGGGCTAGTCCTCAGCTCTCCAGCAAGCTCAATTGCAACGAAGGTGAAGATTGGCACCAGAAGAAACAATCCTGCGACAACAAGCAGCCGTCCGAATCCGCGCGGCCTTGACCGCAGTCCATTGCCTCGGCCAGGGACTGCCATCTTTCAGGTCATTCCACGACTTCCTAAATGTATTCCTGAAAGAATTTACCCAGGTTTACCTAGACAGGGGCGATCCTGTCAGCGTCTTTCTCCCAGTCATTCTCCCTCTTTCTTTTTCTGCCACCCAGCATTCCGAATCCAAGCTTTCTTCTTCTGAACATTCGATGTTTTGGATACCCAGGGTTTTAAAATTTAGGGTTTTATTACCTCTGACTTCTGTACCTCTGACTTTCGAGTCTAAAAAGTCTAGTGTTCAGCTCCTGCCACTGGTGAGCTGAGCTGAGCTGTGGGTGCAGCTCATGCAAGAAAGATCCAGCAACGCGCAATGTTGAGCATGAGCACCAGGCGCTTGGGCCTGGCGGCTTTTGATGGCAAGAAAGTGAAGGCACAGATGAGGGTTCGTGCGCTGAAATAAGAAACAGGTGTTTTCAGTCGTTTTGCAAGAAGGTCTGTAGGAGGCTTTTACGAGAAACTGAGCTTTAATGTGCGTTGAAATGGGGATCAGGGTCTGGGTGGTACGCATATTAGCCCCCACAAGCCTGGCTTTCCTCTCTATTTGACAATTTCAGCTGAAAGTATGGTCCTGATGGTTAAAATGATTTTGGCCCCAATGGCCAGAATCAACGCCTGGTTGGTGAGCTAACGCGCCTACTTGGAGACAGGTTCCAGGCGCCTATGCAGCACACGTCAGCCATGGGAACCCCCAACTCCGAGTCCTCCCTTTTTGACACGTCCTTGCTAGCATTCTCTCTGCCCCCCTCCAATGAGGTGCCAGCGCTCTCAGCCCCCACACCTAGTTACAGCCCCAGCTCCTCGGCTCCCACTAGCGCCCGCAGCTGGCTGCCAGGCTTGCTCAGTGGTGATGCCATCCCAAGCGAGGCGCTCACCGAGAGAAGGGAAGAAGACTTAGATGGGGCTACAGTCGAGGAGCCATTCCTCTGGAAGAAGAAGCTGTTCACAAAGGCGGACTCCATCGAGCTGGAGGAGACAGCTGAGACGGGGGACGGCACTGGCATTGCACAGTATAGGAGACAGTGCGAGAACCATGGGATCCTGCCGTCCCTGGCTGTTTTGAGCAGCCTGCAGGTAGGAAACGCCTCAGTATGTACGGTAAAATATGATGTGGGTCTGGCTTCATTACTCGTGACAACCGGAAAGTTTCTTGAAAGCTTCTTCGGGAGATACCATGAGAAGGATCACTGAATCGTCACTTCAAATGAACAATTGCAGTGTCTCAGAAGGATTTAGGCTTCTTCGATTGCCCCCACCTAACAAGGGCCTAACCGACCATCTGATTACATGGTCAACTGTTCGATTGATGCCCAGTAATTCCACTTGGTGAACTCAGAAGGCTCACAAAGGACAACCCAGAAAGGCAGTCGTTCTTTTCGATTCGTGGGAGCTTGCACCACCCGCTTTAAAAATCCGCTTGAGGACTGTCGTCCAAAACAGTATCCCCAAGCACAAGAACTATAAGTGTTTGTCACCATGGGTAGTGAGTGGTCGACTGAATGTTACGTCTATTCCTGCGCAGAGAACGCACATTGAGTTCTCGCACTACCTCCTGGGCGAACATGGCGGCTTTGCTTTGGCCTCCGCTCTGCGGGTCAACTCACAGCTCACGACCCTCAAGCTCCGCTTTGCGGCACTTGGCAATGCTGCGGCGATCGCTGTGGCTCAGGCGTTGCAGCGCAACCAAAATGGCCGCATCAAAACGTTGGACCTTGAGGGGAACGGGCTGGGGCCAGAAGTGGGGCCCGCATTGGCGGAGCTGCTGACTAGCAACTCGACTCTTAAAGTGAGCCGCTGATCGTTTGCAGTGTGTTTGGGGACATGAGAATGGTGCAAAGGTTTCCTTGGAGGAACTTTCTCTATTCAGAAATCATGATGGTGTAACTTAGAAGCTTCTAGGAGGTGATCCTCTTCCTCTGGCTACAGGTTTGTCGACCTAATCTTCTTTGTTGTCAAACAACAAGGAAGTCGACAGAAAGGCATTGTTCAACCAAACTTGCACACCGTTTGGCATCTCTATTGATGTTGGGACCCCGTATTCGGAAACCTGTCATGTAATTCAACGGGGTCATCCACTGCTTGCCCTGTCCTGCAGGTCCTTTCTCTCAAGAACAACCCGTTGCGCAACCTCGGCTGCCAGAAGCTCTTCAAAGCGCTGACGCAGGGCAACCAGACACTCATCGAGCTCGACCTCGAGGGCACCTCGCTTGGAGATCCTGCAGGACCAGTGAGCGCTGAGCATGCTCTGCCTTTTCGTAGATTATAGTCGAAGTTTTTTCGTGGCTGTGGAATGTGCAAGGCGCACATACATGACGGTTCTCTCAAGGTAGTGTCCTTTTGAATCAGTGAGTTGTCACCTTTTGTTGTGCTCGCGCGGCAAGGCTGAAAGGCCATCGAAGAGAAGTCGGTAAACGCGTGCATGCTTGGGGCTGGACACGGGATTGCAGATTGGGCATCCGATCTGCATCTCAAGTCCAAATACGTTTAAAATGGTAGAACAAGAATGGGAAAAAGCACACTGTAATCTGTAACCGAGCCCCAGTAAGCGCTGAACACGTGTCCGCTTCCACGGCGTTCAGTCCTTCTACTTTTCTATCTCATCAAACTTTCTAAGGTTCCTGAGATGTAGGATTGCAAACTTCGCTGACCATCGTTGACTTACCTGTATTGCAGGCGATCGCAGACTGCCTGAAGCAGAACACTTCTCTGAAGAAGCTGAACCTCGCATCCAACTTGTTGACCATCGCGTGGAGCCTCGTTGCGGATGGACTCGCACAGAATGGGTCTCTGCAGGTTAGCTTCGCTTCGTACCTTATGGGATAAAAAGGTCGGAGTGATCGTACTTCGAACGGTCTCTTGAAGTGGCGTTTCATCTTGATTGCCTATTCCGGCCCTCCCTGCTCGTACCTTGCCGTCCGTTACTTTGGGTGTTAGCTACCTTCCTGCTTTTTACCTTCCAGTGGAACGGCGTTTTCACACCATCACGAGCGGACAGAGGCTCCTGCTTGTGCTGTACCCCGTCTCAGGAACGCAAGTTCAGCAGACACTTATTAGAGGCAGAGCCGGCTATGAGGAACCATTTATTACACAAAAGAGCCCCATTGCTTTGTATATCCTGATGGTTGCATCGAGCATCTTCAGGAATTACAACGCCAGAGCTCGACTCCGCAGCCACCAGGACGCCCCTAGCGTTGATTGGAAAACTCGATATCCGGACGTAAGCAACATACGTAAACATTCTCTCTCGCGGTCTCAAAAAAGCGATAGACTCGAACCCACTGCTTCTATTCTTCCCAGGTCCTGGACGTGTCTTCCGGAATCTTGCTAGGCGACAGCGGCGCCGCGTTTTGCGCCGCGCTGGGCGGAAACACGGGCCTCAGGACGCTGGACCTGACGGACTGCCGCTTCGACGAGGGCAGCCTGGGGGCGCTGGCGTCAGCAATGACGCAGTGCAGGACCCTGGAGACACTGGTCATGGACGGAGCAGCAGCAAAGGGGCTCGTGCAGGCAAGCGCGTCAGTTACTTATGAGATATTACCTAACGTATAAGTCCTTGAAAATTCAAAGACGCAGGTTTGCAGCAAAGAGAAAATAGCCGCGGAGTGCCGACAAACGAACGCAGAGCTTTCTAAGCTGATCTGTAGACTTTGCCTGCGCTGCCAGGACGCTATTCCCACGATTCGTGACTATGAAACTACGCTTGCACTTTTGCGGGTTTTCGGGTTTTTGGGTTTTTATGGTCGCTTTTCTGCTCGCTTCCAGCTCTTGATCTCGTCAGCATCAAACGCTCCATATGGCTTAAGCTCTGCTGACGGTGATTTTGCTCGACGGTCCAGGCGTTTGCCGCCAACAAGAGCTCGTGCAAGATCGCATTCAGGAAGAGCGCGCATGGCCGCGCCGGAGACGAGGAGTACGCGCTCGACTTCGATGGGGAGGTGGACGCAAGCTTTGAGGTTGACTGTGAGTGTTCGCCGTCAAAGATTGACCGTCTGAGGGGTTCCGACAGAATCTACCACTTTGGTGATAAGATCCAACGAAGCATGGTCGCAGGGTGATAGACTGTGTCTGAAGTCCCATGCTTTCATGACTTGTCTGGGACAGCCGTGTTCCTGGATCGAGCTGTCTAAACTTGCAAAACTCGAAGAAACGAAATTATAGATCTGTCAGCCACTGAAAAACACAAAAGGCTTGAACTTTACTCAGCACATGCGGCCCACGAGTCCGAGGGGTTACGCAGAAGTCGAAGCATGAATCTTATCGAGCTCAAGACATGCCTGGACATGCTCATGCGGAAAGCAGCAGGCCTAATAGCTTTGAGGCTCAGCTGAAAACCGGGTTTCTCCTTTCCTGCAGCCTCGCGCAAGCAGTCACGGATCAGCCGTTACCCGTCGCAGATCAACGTCGACGGCCCAGTACAGCTCCCTGAAACAGAAGCGGCGCACTTACAAGCGGAGCTTATCGCTGCTGTGCAGTCCTTCGCTAATACAAGCGAGCAGCCTGGCAAAGATGCAATAAGCAGTGAGTCCGCCGATCAAAAGCCGACGGCAAGCGGTTCGGAAAAAGCAGCCAAGCAGGACACGGGGGAGGCTCTACCGAAGGCTTTACAAGACAGGGGGATAGGCTCGGACGTCGGAACGTCTCCTACGAACGGAGCGGACAGAGCGGGAATGCGGAAGCCTGGTCTGCCGGGAAAAGCCGTCGGAGACGGAACGGACGCAGGAAAGCACGTTTCGAGAGTGACAGACTTGGAAAAGCGACTTTCGGACAGACTGAACCCCGGAAAGCCGCCTTTAAACGGAACGGACGCCAAAAAGCCGGCTTCGGAAGGAACGGAAGCCGGTAGGCCTCCTTCGGACGGAGCGGACGCCACAAAGTCCCCGTCGGACGGAACGGACGCCGGACAAGTGCCCGCGGATGGAGTCGAAGGTCGGAAATCTGCACTGTCCGAACTGGGCGTGATTCTGCAGGGGACGCGGTTGCAGGAGCTGCGGGAGGAGCACACGCGCGCGCAGAAAAGGGCGCGGGATAACCCGAAGGACCTGGAGGCGCTGCAGCTAGCCGCGGTGAGGCGGCCGCCCGACGTCTTTGCTGGAGTGCAGAGATCGGAATATTGGTATTTAACTTGGCGACATTGCGTTTTGTAATTAGAGACTGGGGCTCAAATTCAACCTATGAAAGGCTACTGGCTCTCCGTCCGGTGGCTTCTCTTTGTAGTTCAAGCATGATGCTTTAAGCACAGCGAACGGTCCCATGTCAAGACTTGTCGCCACCGATCAGCCGGTTCGTATTGTAGCTGTACTTGCATGTGAACTTCCAGCGCGCATTGTTGCCCCTTCCTATAAGCCAGGCCGCTTAGTGAATCAAAGGAGTCACGAAATACGAAGGCGGGCAACGTCTCAACAAACGCGCTTTTGCAATCAAGGAGCAGCATCCTTCGACCCGGAGCTTGACAAGCAATCCGGCTTGGCACAAGCGCCACTTTTCGCATCAATGAAACTCGTCAAGGCTGAGCTTCCACGCCTGCGTTTCGGCGTTGATCACTTGTTTAGCCGACCCCATCTTTTCAACACTTTTTCCAGGAGGCCGCGTCAAAGCTCTCCATGCACAACGAGGCAGCCTTGAGTTATACGTGCGCGTGCAGCTTTTCACTAGACGCCCCGGCGCCTATGCCTGCGATTTTTCGTTGTTCGCTCCTTTAGCTAATCGCGTCTTTCTCAATGTTCCCAGGAGGCCGCGTCGAACCTCTCCTTGCACAACGAGGCAGCCCTGAATTACCTGCGCGCGTGCAGCTTTTCACTGGACGCCGCAGCGCGGCGCGGCTTTCAGAGCGTCATGGAGCTCCTGCTGCTGGAGCGGGACCGGTACGCACCGCCCAAGAGGACCCTTTACCTCAAGGTATGGAATCGAAGCCGGATGCGCCTGTGTTGTCGATGTTCGGGATTTGCCTAATCTGACAAAGACCTTCGCCAGGAACCACTGAGGCCGCCAACGACCTGTGCGCGGCAAGGAATGGCTGCACTGTGCCTCCTTTCTTTATATGACCCACATTGACAAAGCTGGGCCCGGTAACAAGACAAACTGCGTCGCTTGGACGAGGCCTGCTCGTCTGTTCTCAATCTTTGCTTCCCTTGCGTGTTTGTTCTTTCGAATTTTCCTGATTCGGTCAACTTCTTCGATTCTACGTACGGGTAAAGTCTTTCTTCTTGAGGGTGAGCTACGCCTATACCTTCTTTCCAGAACCCGAAAGAAGTCCTCCTTCCAACCTGAGAACAACATATCAAACATTCCCTTCGCCAGGACTTTGTGCTACCTTAATACCACTTACTCAAAGGAAGCCGCATGTTGGTCAGCTATGAGACCGGCCCTTAACCCTCTCAATAAGACTCCTTTGCTCAATCCCGAATGTTTCGCTCCAGGTGAAGAACCTGGAGAGCGGCCCCCTCCTGGCCCGCGCCTCCAGCACCTTCTCCCTCATCCCCGAACTAGAGGCGGTCCTCGACAACTTGCACGATCTGCTCGCGCGCGGTGGCGATCCCGAGCAGGCGAAAGCGCGCCTGCGGCTCGTTGTGCGCGACAGCGAGGACGAACTGCGCGAAGTGTTCGGGTTCTACGCCGCCGGGGGGACGCCAGAACCGTCGGGGTGAGCAGCGAACGACCCCCCCTTTATTTGTTGTTGGCTTTGGGAGAAGGTGGCGTCCTCTCCTCCCAAACAAATTTTGGCCTCAAAAGCCCCACTTAGCGAGACGTATGTCCAAACCTCTTCTACCGACTTCACCCCAATTTGCGACTTCGTTCTTGTCTCCGATCGGGCGTCATTATAATCTCGTCTCCCGCCTTGATTACTCTGCACTCTCAACCGATGTCCGGCCGTTCCTCGAGTCCGGAAAGTCCTTGCGTCTACTCGCACGAGTCAACACCTCTTTCTCCACCCTAACCCTCCGCCGCAGCGCGCCGGACCGCCTGGCCCTGCGCCTCTTCTGGCGGCTCGCGCGCGACTGCAAGCTGCTCGCGCGCCCCCTCCCGCTGTGCGAGAACAACCGCGTGGCAGCCCACTGCCAGCCCGAGGGGGTCCAGGAAGCAGCGGCGCTAGACCCCCACAACGGCGCCGCAGATTTCACCTCGCTCTCGTTCCCCAGCTTCGTGGAAACCATGTGTCGGCTGAGCTGGGTGCTGCACCCCGGCTTCCGGACGCTGCCCGAGAAGTTCGAGCAGTGCGTCCGGCAGCAGGTGCGCCCGAACGCGCGCGCGGACAGCCGGGACGCCCTGCAAAAGCAGGTGAGCGGGCGGTGCCTTTGTCGTCCTGGCTCCTCCTCTTCCGGCAAGGAGGATCGAGAAATTATCGCCAGAGAATTCTGACTGGAGTTCCCCTCAGGCGACCCGGCTGGGATTGACGACATTACGATTGTTGTGCGGCAGGGCGGCGCTAGGCCGTCTCTCATTCTCCCAATTTACGGAACGTAGCTTGCCCACTCCATCTTTTGTTCTCGGACACGTCTTTCGAATGAAGCAGGCACACGGAGCGGGTGTCACCCAGCCGCCCTTGTTCTTGGCCGTTGCGAGGCACCAAATCTCCGTTTCAATCAACAAAAAACTCCCCAGGACTCCAGGTCTGACTCCTTTGAGATGCATGAGGCGTCAAAAAAATGAGATCGGCGCATCGTGATTGAAGCCTGAAAGCAAGACTTATGGTCAACCAATCCTCAAGGTATCCAGAGCACAATAGAAAAAGCCCTCATATGGAACGTCTTCGTGGACAGGTGTCGATCGCCGCAGGAGGCCATTACGCCGACAAGCACCGCGGCCGGCTGCTCAAGATCTTCCGCCACTTCTGTACGGACTACGCGGAGGCCATGGCGGAGGCCCACGTGGCAGCCCAGGAAGGTGACAGCACGACGGTCCGGTCCTCTGTTGAGCGCACCAAGGCTCTGCACGGGACACCCGTCTTTGACCGCGAGAAAGAGAGTTCCGCTTCCGCTGGTTCCGGTCAGCACTCGGGCGACGCCAGCGGGCGGTCGAGGTTCGAGCGAGAGGCGAAGCAAGCCGCGGCCGCGTCGGAAACCCTCAACCCCGGGCACGGCTCCCCGCGCAAGGGGGCTGGCTCGAAGAGTCTGGAAGGGGCGGTCGAGCCTCGGAGTCCGGGCTTAGATGGAACTGGAGCTAAGGCCGGGGGAAAGAAGGGGCTGGCGCCGACCGCGGCAAGCGTGACGTCACTGGGCGGAATGGAAGAAGGGCCGGGATACATGACGTTCAATGACCTCATGCGCCTGGCCGACAAGATGGGGCTCTACAGCCCGCAGCTGAATCTGAGCAAGGTGAGGGGATGCCTGGGTTCTCGTTCAGTTGTCGGCGTAATGGGCAGACACAGAGACTCTTCAAGGAGTCGAGTGATTCAGACGATGCAAAAGCAACAGCTCTGTTCAATCTGCAGAGCGCTGGACCAGGAGTCTTGGCATCTGACCGAGTGGAAAGCGTATAGTAAATCAGCTTTGGTTCGTTCATATCAACCTCCCTCATGTGCGACAGCAATGAAATCTTTGTTGCAGTGATAGTCATTCTGAGGAATCTCTCTACGACAGGCGTTTACAAGGACAAAACAAGTAGGCGCGTTCAGAACCAACAGACTTCGCATACGGACAGTGTTGCCTGATTTAACGAACTTTCTGTGGGACCTACGGCTTTTCCCTCGTCATACATTTGTCCGTTCCGTTCCGCAGGTGAAGTCCATCGTGGAGCGGCTGATCTGCTTCCCGGAGCTGATGCCGCAGCAGCACATGCACAACCTGCGCTCGCGCATCATCCTGGAGGAGTTCGTGGAGATCCTGGCGCGCTTCGCGGCCGCGACGTACTCTGGCCCCGACACCGCGGCCGCGCGGCTGCAGAAGGACACGGAGGGGGGGTGGAAGATGCTGGAGGAGTTCCTGGAGGAGCGGATTTACCCCATGGCCAAGAAGATCTTGCCAGGCCGGCTGTGACGGGTGTGAATATATCTAGAACGTTTGACAGGAAATGGTTCCCACGGCGTTGCTATATTGGCGAAGTTCTGACTGTGCTTCAAGACCCGCACATGTTATTGACAAATACCCGATGAGGACCCAATACGTCCCGATGAGGGGAGACAAAGCGAGTGCTAAACTAGGGTGAAACCTTTATAGCGGAGCGAGTGTCACAGATAGGATATGTAGTAAGTTTCACAATCATCATCAAGAATACTGGATGACAGTTAAGTATATACTATATGAAGGTAATGTAAAGTAGGGGGGCTTGTTCAGGAGAGCTCAAATGGACGAAAGTGCGCGTTGATGCTTAGACGAGCATCTTAGAACGTGCAATATATTTCTTATTCAGCAGCGAACTTACCCGAAAAAGAGTCACAACGATCTTTCAAGTTTGCATGACGGGGGCATGACATGAGCACCTATTGAAGGTTGGACAGACAAGACAGGAGTATCGCGGCAGTGATGACGGTATTTTGGACGTACGTTGCAACCTCGTTGCAACCACTCTGACAGATCTTCACTATAGCCTACTTACCCGGTTTGTTCATCATGCAAAGCAACTAGATTGCAACAAAAAATTGAAATGGAGGTTGATGGAATTTGTAAGGTTAAATCAAAGACAATGCGAGCATCTAACTGCACAAGCCTCAGCCTCGAGTGACGAGGTCAAAAATGATAACTCCCGCAGCTCCGGCATGATGAAGCTATGTCCACATGAAACACGATAGGTATCAAGAACGGCGTTTGCCTCGTGAACTCGGGAATGAAGGGAGAAGGTGCACGAGATATGTAGATTCTATAGATCAACATGCTGTTATAGCAGCATAGGCCCCGGCGCCCGGCGCCTGGCCGCATGCACGCTGCGGCGGCCGCCGCTGCCATGGGCGGCCCAGGCCCCAGGGGCGGCTGGGGCCAGGCCATATGCCCATTGCCCACGTGTGACGTAATGCAGGTAGGTAAGCCGGGAATACTTTATGTTCAATAAAGTCACTGAAGTTCCGTACCCGATTTTTGGATCCTTCCGATCGCGGCAAACCAAGGCCGTTCGTCGCGATCAAGGCAGCACTAAGCCGTTCGATGCATTGCCAATTTGCCGGGGTACGTATCCAAAGCGAGAACATGACCAAGAAATGACGTCATTCAGGAGAACTGTATCATGCACACCCTGACCTTCCTTGCAAGCGCCCGAAAGGAGCTTCAAGATTTCCAGATTGCGAGGAACGTCAGCCCTGCCTTGACGTGCAGACTGCCCGAGCTTCCTTCTTCTTTCTGACAAGCTGAGAGAAGTACATGTGCAATCAACAACGGTCAATGCGATGCTCAACAGCGATCTGATCCGATGTCGATGGAGTTCTGCCGTGCTTCAGCATTTCTCGCAGAGTACTTATACCAACCACCACCGGGTGCTCAGATCGCCGCAACCTAAGCTTCAATCTCTTTCCTTGCCAATTTTCTCAGCTCTGACCTAAAATCCACTCTAGTCAACCAGCTCAACAAGTTGTGTAAGCGGTACTCAGGCTCAGCAACTGATCCACCGCCTGCAGCCAGAATGGTGCACATCTTTCTTACCGGCGCATCGGGCTACATTGGGTCCGTCGTGGTAGACCTTGCGCTGAAAGCGGGACATTCGGTGCGGGGCTTGGCGCGGAGCGAGGCGTCTGCTGCCAAGCTCAGGGCGAAGGGAGTGGAGCCCGTGATTGGGGACCTGTTCTCTCTGGACGTTTTGGCAGCAGAGGCGAAAAAGGCGGATGCAGGTAAGTTCTCAAAGCACTCAGCCCGGTGGGCCTTGTGGCGTAATGGTACTGGCAGATTTCGTTAGATACATACAGACGTTGAGCAAGGATGCAGGAAGCTGCACTTAGGTTATAGGGGCGGGCAATCGCGGTGCTGATGAGATACTGTGAAGCACTCCGGCTGCTGAAGTGATGCCCCGAGTCGATCAGAAATATAAGGACCAGCTCAAAAGCGGCACTCGTTGTGTGATGTACTGTGTCCATGTGGCTGCTGCAGTTGAACTACATTGCTCATGGTCCACTTCGTAATTTGCTGTGCTGCGGTCAGGAAGAGAAGCCACGAAAACTCAAATCGGGTACTGGCATAAACACAATCATAATTCCGCTTTTTTGGGACATGAGCTCTGGATTGCACAATCACTTTGTCAATCAGTACTGCCTCATACTCGACAGCTGCCAATGCTGATGCGGTCCTCCTCTTCCCAGTAACGTAGTCGGGTGGCTTTCCAGTGTCATCACGCCAATGGCCAGATGGCTCCAGCTGAACTGGACATTCTCTCTCAGTTCTCTATTCTTCATGTAGCTTCACATCGTCTTGGTTGTCAAGCTCGGAGCTGACTGGAATCAATGTCTCGATTGATGTGTGATTCAAAGCCTTTCTCCTTGCTTGCAGTTCTCCACCTTGCGTTCATCCACGACTTCGACAAATATGACGAGGCCGTCGCGCAAGACCAGCGGGTGATTGCCACGTTCACGGAGGCCCTGGCCGGAACCAACAAAGTGCTTGTTGTGACCTCAGGTGACCGCTCGCCCCTCCGCTGAAACGAAGGCTATGTTGCGTATCTTTGGATCTTGCCTTTCGTTCAACTGATGCTACAAACTGTTAGGTCGAAACCAATCAATTTGCTCACAGGTCAACTACTCTAGAGTTCAGATGAAAATTGAAAGAACATGAAAGAACGCCAGAATTGGTTTGCTCGTTGTCAAAAGCGGTCCTTGCTGGAACTCAATTACAGCTCGGTCGAGCTCTCGATTCCCAATCTTTATTTCGGATAGTCAGGAACTGGTTTGCAAAGCAGGTCCGGCATTGCTCTTGCAGGAACCGGTGTGCTTCAAGACACCGGCGACATGATTGCTGACGAGCGCACGGCGATCCAGCCTGGAGGGGGAGCGGCCGAACGGGCGATCGCTGAGCAGATGTGCGTTCAGGTGAGCTCCCCAGCCCATTTCACCACGAGATGTTTCGACCTTGGCAGCCTGCTCACTCAAAACACGACGCACTATCAAAGAAGTGGCTCGTTGCTCGTCTCTCCTACCTAGAAAAACCGGCAGAACATTAGTGTGCAGAAACTTCGAATACGCCTTTCGTACCATTACTTCTCGCTCTGTGGATCGGGTTATCTATATACCGTATGTTGATGGGCACTTCTGCTTGGACTGGCTGACTGTATATCCTTGCATGCCAGCCTTCCCACGCATGTCGCTCACACGGGTTTGGGTGCTATGTGGCAGGCTGCCAGCCGTGGGATCCGGAGCGCAGTGATGCGGCTGTCTCTCCACGTGTACGGCCGCAACGGGAGCCACTTCATCCCCATCCAGATTGCCACGGCGGAAAAGGACGGGGTTGCGCGTTACATTGGAGAGGGTCAGCCCCACGACTATGTCTCTGTTCCATATTTCTCCACAAAGGCGCCCAGCATTGACGTAGCTCGATTTAAGAAATGTGGGCGGAGCACTTGAGAATCTTTTGAAAGATAAGCCTTTGTTTCTAAGCTCCGCATCTTTTGAGGTTGGAACGCACGGAGACTTGAAAAAAGGGAGACGATCCAGTACTCGAAGTAAGGGAGACGAAAAGCACTACGTGCTTCCGCTTGAGGACTCCTGCCTTTGGCACCTCAAGCCTCAACAGAGAACGGTTTGGATGAAAGATCTGGTGCGGGCCAGGGCAAATGTTCTGCGTCCAAATATTCCCAGCGCTCTTTGTTCTTTGTGTGCGGTTTGCTCTGACCTCCAGTCGCCAGCCCGGCGCTGCGGTGCAACTCAGGTACAGATCTGCTTCAGAGCCATCACGGCTCGGCGTAATTTCTGGGGTATGTTGGGGCGAGTCGAGAGCAATTCGGAGGACGAAGTCCACGTTACTGTCGCCCGAATCTTGCGTTCAAGAAAGCGTTTGTTATTCAGTCGCACTTTTCTGGTGCAGGTTCGAACGTGACGACCGTCGTGCACGTGGATGACGTGGCGGCCGCGTTCGTCTTGGCTGTGGAGAAGCCTTTCACGCCAGGTGCGCGTTTAGTGGTTCATGCTGAGTACTTGAATGAAAGGGCTCTCATCGCTCAAGAGCAAGTTAAAAAGGGTCTCGTTATGAGCAGTACGTTCTGGCCGACAGGCTTGGTTGGAGGCCTGATTCTACCATCTCAAGGCGGCTTTGATGCGTTCTGCGCAACTCATTCTCGCTTTGTTCTGAAGTGGAAAGCGTCGCGTTTGCTTCGGTTGACCTTGTCTCGAAGCCACTCGCGCAATGGAAACGGTACTGAGAGCACGCCTTTTCCTCGATAATCATCAAGCAATTAACCCGACGTTCTTTGCTAGCGAACGCTCTGCCAGCCATGCCATCAGATCGCACTGACCACGTGTCCGATCCTCGGTTGCAGGTACCATTTTCCATCTGGGCGACAAATACGACACGGGAATGACCGGGAAAAAGATCGCCGAGGCGATCGCGCAGCGGCTTTCCTTGTCCCAGGTGCAAAGTGTTTCGTTCGAGGAGGCGTCCGTAGTTTGGGGCCCTTTTCTGGCGTGGGCCTTTTCGCTGACCAACCAGTATAGCTCGGGGCTGGCGGAGAAAGAGCTCGGGTGGTCTGTTCCCGAGGGGCGGTCCGTCCTTAAGTACATAGCGGAGAGCGGTCGGGTGGAAGCTTGAGTTTGGTCGGTTGAGTTCTCGCTGGCCGGGGGCGGGTTAATGCGCGAATCAAGTAGTTTAGCGTAACAGTAATTTTTGGATGTTGGAACGGGATACGATAAGCTAGAGCGGAGCCATACATAGTCAAAAGTAGCCTTGAGTAAAACTCAGTGTTGTAATACCTGACGTGTCCTGCAGCGTATATATCTGTCAATATATGTAATTACGAAGAATTTTCTAGCTCTCGCCAAGCGTCCAATATGCAAGCAGTAAACATACGGGGGGATCATTGGAGTCGTGAAACGCATGCCGCTATGCTGCTATACAATTAAGGCCGCTTTCACTTTGCATGGGAAGCCCCCCCTCGCATCACGGAAGCCTACAGCTGCAATATTATACCGCGCGTCTGCCACCGGCACAAGTTGGCACAAGTACATACAAGAGTTGAAGACCTCAAGCTGCGGGCCGAAGATCGCCCGGTCAGTGATACTGCATGCCACAATACATTCTGATATACTCAAAGTGTTCTTAAGTAGAACTTGATACCCTGTACAATTTTAGAAGGTGGAAGTCTGATTGTTCGGCAGTGGCCGAAGCGTGTACCCGACATCTGGATTGAGACTGTGGACATTCCCTTGACATAGGATGGAAACGATTCAGAATCTTCGTGCTGCCCGTTATGACAATCTCTTTCGATCTTACGTCTTTTCCCCTGCCCAGTTTCTCTCCATATACTGTTTTCCTATCAGCGAGCCTGTCTCCACAATTTCTCCACCCAGACTTGCGTTCTTGACTATCTGGCCAGCTTAAATCGACACTCAGTGCTTGTGAATCATTCTGAACAGTAATCGCGGCAGCTATAGCCAAGCAGCCTACATTTCTCACACAGATGCTGAGGGTGCTTTCTCGTAGTGTCAATCTTTTCCGTGCGCTTCAGCAGCTCGTTCAGCGCGAAGGGGTGCAAATTGATTTTGCACACCTGACACTGCTGCCCCATGCCCTCCCAACTTTACAGCTCATCCAGAACCTGCGGCACTGAGGACACCTGTACTTGCCAAACTGTCTCCCCTTTTTGCTCGTATCAGTTGGGACTCTCCTCTGAGCAGCTTGAGTGGTGACAGCTGGCACCGCGGCCGGAAGGTTTGCCGTTGGTATTGCCCGTGGTGGCGGCGACTCTTGGGCGCCACTTGTTCTGGCAACTGTCGCCATGAGCGGGTCACTGGCGTGCTTGAGGCCGCACGCGGCGCAGCAGGACGTGAACCCCATTGCCGCTTAGGCTCCTGGCTACGTTCGCGTTGTCCTGTGTCTCGGCAGAGCATCAATCCCGCCGGCCGGTGCATGGGCTACTTGATGAGATTATGTTATCCAACCGGAATTCAAGAGTGATTTCGACGTATCATGAGCAATTGTTGCAGGGTTATGAGCTATACTAGGGCAATGCACCTCATATACGAGCAGCTCAATAACGTTGTCCAAAGAACCTTGCCGCGCCCAACATCAGGCCCGCCGGTAGTGACATGATGCATCTTGCACAAATCCTCCGACGTTGTGTGCATATGGCATTTTGTTCGGCACATATGTAAAGCCGGTGCATGATCAAACTCAGGCATTTGCTCAGTGTGAGTCGGTAAATGCAAGCGGGGCCTGCACGTAGGTATGCATGAAACGCAATGACAATCTTTGCATGCAAGTTAAGTGGCCTGTACATGCTCAGCGGCCCCGGCGCAATGCTGAAGAAGAATGATAAGCAAGAGCAACGATATGCAAATGCTCAACATGATAAAAGATCAGGCCTCTGTTGGAGTACATCCACCCCAACCGCGGTTTGAAGACCAAAAACGTGGCCTGGTGCCTTTTGAAAATGTAACTTCACCTCACTACGAAACCTGAACTACGGACGACTGAAGATCAGGTTAAATTGTTAGAGACTCCTTTGATTACCGGTATGAGGCTCAAACGTAAGAAGCTAAACTAGCGATGGATCTATTAAACGTCAGCTAAAGCAGTTTTCAAAGTACTCAACAACCAACCAGCACTAAAATAAAAAGTCTCAAGGCGGCTCCAATAATTACGTGAAAAAGCCACGCTAAAACTGCAGTCCCACTCAACTTGACCGGTCTTCGATCAACCCTGCTACTTCCGTACCTATCCTCCCAGTAGCTTAAGTTTACTTCGAACTAAGACAAGTTTGTAAAGAAATTCCGCAACGGTAAGCGACGTAACGGTCGAACACCCTCTCCTATTGACTGATCTAAATCTCGCCTGACGGATGCACGCATATTTCAATGATGATCTCAGGTCAGACGTGCAGGCAAGTGGCGCGAGCAGGTCAAAAGTAACTCTTCCGGACAAAAACTTCGCCCCCGAGGGCCTCATATTTCGCGATGCAAGGGGTTTCACGCCTTCCCAAAACCTTCTAGGCGTCCCCCCAGTCTGACTTCCTGTGTGGGGATGCTGTAGTTGATTCCCAGCTCGCGCATGGTCGCAAGCAGGTGCTGCAGCAAGGCCCCCCGGCGGGTGTGGCGCTCCCCCGCATTCTGCAACCATGGTCAATCAGAGTTAGGTTCGTGTTGCAGAAACTTTTTGAGACCGTCCTTGTTGACCGTACTTTTTGAGCCGTCCAATCGAGTCAAGGTAAATCGTAGAAGGGACCCTATTCTTGTTTACTGCCATGTTTCAACAGAAACTGCTCTTGCAAGATGTGAGGAGCTAAAGTTTGAATCACCAGTTAAGCCGTGCCATGCCAATACGGCAAAGGCAATAAGCAAAGAGCAACCAATGGAACACGTCAGAAGCGTTGGGTAATCAATCCATTCGTTCCAGGAGCAATACGCATCCCTGAGAACATTTTTCCATTGTCGTTTTGCCCTTCATATGAGTGTTTTCGGATTTTCGATGTATGCGAATGCGGCCTCGCTGGGTCAACCCTTTCTTTGAGGGTCCATTTGAAACGCGACACTCAAATGGTTTCGAGCCTCAGCATCAGTAATGGGTGAAGCTGGCCACGTGTGCCTTCCGCCATTTCGGCTCAAGGGCTGGCGCTCTCACCTGGTGGTTCATAGTGTGCTGCCCCCAGAAGCTGCACTGCATGCGGTTGTTTGTCTTGTCGATGTCGCGCACAAGCAAGAAGAACGTCGGGTACCTGCGCGTAAAGAGAAGGGATGCAACGGTGGGGTCGGATAAAAGAGTTACGAAACGGCGAAGAAAAGATGCAAACGAAGATATTCACGACGTGGCGCCGAGGCCTGCTTCTCACCTGTAGGGAAACATTACTAGCTCGGCCACGTTCTCAAGCTCCACGGCTTCACTTGCGCCTAGGACACAAAACCGACTTTCCTAACCTCATAGAAATAGAGGTGGTGTCACAGAAGGTTTGAATATCAAGGACTCGCTTTGATCGGCCCGGCAGCTCACCAATGGTGCGGGAGCGCCTTGAGGTAGTCTCCAATGCGCTCCTTGAGCGCCGCGATCTTCTCGGCGGGCGTGAGCGAGTCGACGAAGAAGTCGATGGCCTCGCCCATGTCGGAGCTGCGGCCCATGTTCACAATCTGCTTTTGCGCCAGCACGCTATTCGGCAGGTACGTCTTGCCGTTGTCCGCCCTGCAATTGCCGATGCAGTGCGTTTAGGAAGGGATGCACAAATAGATGTTGGAACGGGCTCTTGATTGCGCCCAGTAACCTCCGAGGCGCGCACTATTCGGCATCTCTCTTGTTTGCACTGTATGCTTACGAGAAGTCAAAACCTCCGCAAAACCCTCTCCAGAATAGGGTCTGGAGCGCCGTCGGTTGGCGCAACTTGCTAACTTGAAAAGATCGAATCAGGTACCTGCAGTGCTTTCCACTTGAAGCAGATGCACTCATACAAGGTTGCCGCCATCAGATTGAATCATGGAGACGACAGAGCGAACAGAGGAACGCTGCGCAGTGGGCCTGACCTGAGGAAGACGGTGGTGAGGATGTTCATTTCCTCGACGACCATCTGGTTGCCGTCCACTTCGATGCGGTCGCCCACGTCGAAGGGGTGCATCACGAAGATGAACACGATCGCCTCGAACAGCGTCTTGGCCATGTTGCCAAACACAAACACCCAACTGCGCACAAAAGGCAGCGCGCGTCAGCTGACGAATGCAGGGGACGGAAGCAGGTCCCACTAGAACGGTACGGGTCTCCTAGCAGCCTTCACAATGTTGTGACCTTTGAAGTGCGTCAGGCTGACGAGTCAGAGTCCACAACAACAGGTGTACAATATGACCAACATTCTTGGAAGCGAGCCGACGACCAGTTAAACGTTGTTTCATAAAGTTACAATCGCTAAATGAAGCCTACTTTTGCAAATCAAACCACGAAAAAAGGCTCGCGAAGCAAAGCACGGACAAGTCTGCTTTCCTAGTAGCGCGTTGTTACGTCAAAAACACATCCATCTCCGCAGGTCCTGGTCTGCAGCTTCTAAAAGCCGCAGGAGGCGCACCTGATGAGCAGGGAGGAGAGGACGACCCAGAGGTTGGAGGAGGCGATGCCCAGGATGGTGAGCCACACGACCACGATGACCGCCCACAGCAGCGCGTCCAGCACGCCCTTCAGCTTCTTCACCACCGTCTTCGTGTCGTTCAGCGTCAAACTCAAGCTGCGCCGCTCCTGGGGAAAAAGCAACGCGACCTCCGTCAAAATTTGACCTTTTTCAAGTTTGAGAAGGTGGGGTAGGGGGTTTGAAATAAGGGGGAAAGGCACTGTCTTCGTGTCGTTTCAGCGTTACGCTGAAGCTGCGCCGCTCCTGAGGGGACAAAGCTGAGCTGCGTCAACCTGAGCTTTCTCTCAGACTCACTGAGGTGAAATGGAGAGGTTCAGAATGAAAAACATGGTCTTTTTATGTCGTTACAGCGTCAGGCTCAGGCTGCGCCGCTCCTGGGATGAAGCAAAAGTGGAGCTCCGTCATAATCTGACAGCCTCTTCAATCTGAGGAAGGTGGGATGGAGGGTATAGAAGCAGAGACAAAAGTTAGTGCCTTCGTGTCGTTTAGCGTCAAGCGCAGGCTGCGCCGCTCTCGGGGAGGAGCGAAGCGGAGCTCCATCAAAACTGACCTTACTTTTCAAAACTGAGGTGGTGGAATAAAGATACAGAAAGGGAGGGTAATCAGAAGGTCTTTGTGTCGTTCGCGTCGAGCTCAGGCTGCGCCGCTCCTGGGAAGAAGCAAGCGGAGCAACCATCAATATTAAGAATGCTTTTCTGATTGTTGTCATTGAGCAGGATGCAGATTACACAACTAGTGACGGATGGGCCGTCTTGATTAGATTGGTGAGCACAGAGCCGTCTTGATTTTGGTCTTTGTCTGGCTCAGGCTGCGCCCTTTCCCATGCAAGCAGAGGGATCAGCTTTCGTCACGGCTTCCTCGGCATACGGAAAGTTCACCAGACGGGAAGTGGTGCCTGTCGGCAAACAACGTAGAACTTGAAAAGCCGAGGCGAGCCCTTTTCTGATCGAGAACCAAAATCAATAGGAAAGGAGACCAGATACGGTTCGAAAGAAGAAGATCAAAAGGCCCTTACGTTGTAGACGGTGACGACCCAGGCCTTGAGGCTCTTCTTGGTGATGTGGCCCTTCTCGACGGCGCCCTCGAACATCATCCACGTGCGCGCCACCTCGTCGCCGGTCAAAAAGCGGCGCAGGTCGTCGATCGTGATGTACCTGCGGCAGGAGGAGCACAGGGGATCACGATACTTGTTATGACTCACAAAATTGGCAGCCTGTATTTTTGACGGGGACCCGGCTTGACATATACAGGTCAACAGAAATATTGGCGGTTGAGTAATTGTTATGCTGAGAAGAAGCGAACGGTGCGTTGCAAGTCAGGTCTAGTGTTCACTCGCAGTGAATAGCCCTGTCAGCAACTTTGCTTCAAACGAGGCAAGGATAAACAGGCGAGCAACAGGCGACCACAAGCAACTTCGTTTTGAGTTCTACGGGAGAACGTCCTCTCCATCTCTGAAACATAAGCAGAGACATGAACGCTGAACCGGATGAATCAACCCGTAGATACACGGGATAGAGGCCCAAAGTCGTGGTTCTGCGCTGTTGACAATATCTGACCTGCTGTTGGGCTTGGCGACGTTGTAGAAGATCTGCCTGGCGGCGGCTTTTGCGGCCATCTCGCTGTTGATCTCCTCGCCGGCCTCCACCACGTCCGAGTACGTGCTGATGCCCTGCACGCAGTCAACGGCGATCAGGACTCAAGATCGATGAGCTGGGCGAGTTTGCATGCCGATTGGCCCCGTGTGCCTAAACTTCAAAGACTCGAGACAACCTCGAAACACCTGTGCTGGTCAAGCCAACTCAAGCAACGCTACTGCAGGGCTGGTCACAAGGCCTCCACAAAACGGCAAAGCCCGTTCCGTCGGAATGACCAATACTTGGACATAAAATCACGGGCAAACGAACAAAACGCCCAAACTCATGACTTCACAGTCTGTGAACAGCAAAAGACAAGCTCTTCTAAAATTGAAACCCTCGCACCTAATTGCGCACAAGGTTGATCACCGATGCTTTGAAACCTCCAAGAAGGCATAGCCACTACATTCCGAACCCCAGACCTGAAAGAAGGAACCCCCTGTAACCCACCTGGTAGCGCACGAGGTTGATGAGCCGCTTCATGGACCAGGCCGAGACGGTGGAGCTGCTGAGCTGCTGCAGCTTGTCGATGTCCACCTTGCCCGTCTCCTCCTCCACCACCGTCTCGCGGGGCGCCGACCGCGCCGACCGGGGAGTGCCCTCGGGGGTGCGCTGCCGAGGGGATCCCCCTAGGGGACCCGACTCGCTCCGCCGTCTGGATGGTTGGTAAGAGAAAGGAGTGAGCTGCGGGTTCCGACTTTCTCGTCCTGAACTCGGAAGCTTTTCACACGTGTTTGGAGCAACCGGCCTTAGCCGGACTTCGACAATGAACTTTGCGACAGGAGAACACCCTCCACTTACGAGTATTCTCTATTTGTTTCCATGGGGCGTCTGGACCTCTCTTTCAAAAGTCCAAGAACCTGTTTTCCGTTTTCTCGACGCATGTGCCACTAGGAGGACCAAGCATTTAAGCTCCAGTGATGCATGCCCGTTCTGACAGAGTAGCTGCTTCACGTCTTATCTGGCAAATCAACTCACGGCTTACGCCTTCAACGCCGTCCGGATTTTTATTCAGAAGAAACGAGGGACCTTTACTTCAGCCTTCTTAATCTTCCATAATCCAGGCATATATCTCCGACACCAGTCGTTAGACTGCGACTCCCCGTATCCCTTGCTTACCTGACCGTGGTCCCGAACGTCCGGGAGAGCTGCTCCGGCGACTTCGTGGGCCCGCTCTTGCTCTGCGTGGTCGCCTCCTCCTCCTCCTTCTCGGCGGCTTCCCAACCGAGTGTGGGGGGCGCAGAAAGCGTCTCGAGGATGTGCTGGTGGAAGAGCGTGTCCTGGATGCGCTCGAAGAAGCGGTTCACGTGGTACCGGCTGGCAGTCACCTTGATGAACAGAACCTGCACCGAGCGGGGAAGTAGGATCAGAAGACGTAGCTACGTTATGTTCGGCCGCTCTGCAAGCGTCAATGCAGTTCAAGATGTCTTTTCGGCCTGCAAGAACTTGCGAGCGTCAATTTGGAGTCCTGTCTACAAGGTTCACAGGCAGGCGTCCATAATTGGGTGCTCAAGGCAGTCAAGCAGTGCGCCCAGAAACACTTGTGGGCTCGCGGCTTAGAGTGTTACCTTTCCAGAGAGGATACGCTAATAGCATCCTGTCACGAGGCAACACATGTGTGCAGCGCATCCCCAATCGCAACAACAATGCGAGAGCATCCACGATCCGGGTCAAGGCAGCGCTAGAGTTGCGCGTCGACCGAAAACCTACTTGGCCTCCAGGGTTGCCTTTGTAGTACAGACAAGTAGGAGGTACGGTACTTTTCAAGCCATATTTTTCTTCTGGTATGTACCACGTGGATGTGAAAAGCCATCCGATTGGTTCAAATATCTGGAAAGCTTTTTGCAGCTTTTCGATCGACGCGCACCCTAACGTAGAACAGAAGGAAGAGGCAATGGCCAGGCAAGTGACGCCTTTCTGGGCTGCCCACGCTGCTAGACTATGCCACGTGGATAATTCACAGCAAGCGACTGGGGGCTCACCTCGGCGAGCTTGAGGGCGCTGGCCACGAAGATGCAGAGGATGACACGTGTCACGTACTGGAGGCGGTTGTCGACGTCGCGCACCTTGGGGTCCATGACGGCGTACCAGCACGCGGTGACCAGGCCCATCCACAGGCAGTTCTGCACGCCGCTCTTGAGGCTGTACACAAAGTACAGCACGCGCTTCCTGCAGGACAAACAGAAGGATGCGATCACGGAAGGTCGAATTGGAAAAGTCCTGAGAACCTGCCAATTTGCAAAGGTGGAGGTAACCAAAAGAAATCATGATTCCAAGCAGGAGGGTTGTTGACAGACCAGTTCGGAAGCGCCAAGAGCGAGCTGACATGTGTACTGGCACCAAAGGGCCGGGTGGCAATCTGATGACCTAGACTTCAAGCAACTCGTGGCTCCTGTCTGCCATTTTCGTTTTCCAGAAGAAGCGGTGCCGTTTGATTTCAAGACCTTGCCTAGCATCCGAAATCAACTCTCAACAGCATTGCAACAATGCATAACCCGTTTTGCACAACATAACGGAACATCCACCAGATAAGTTCCGCATTCTTGAGCTCCATCCCATCAACCTTCCACAGCACACGAAAACGCGTAATTGCGGGCTCACTTCATGAGGAAGTTGCGCTCCAGGATGAAGACAACGATCTTGACGAGCCAGCCCGAGATGAGGCGGCCCGACACAACCACGAGCAGAATGAGCAGCCACTTCCACTGCAGCACGCCCAGCAGCTTCACCTCGCCCCACACAGCCGTGCTCGTGATGAAAAGAGCAATGATCAGTACCTGGCGGAGAAAGGGGAACAGTTGGTGAGAAAAATCAAGTGGCCGATCTCTGCGGGGCACGAACCTTTGGAAGGCTCTGTGCTTGAGGTTTTGGAACCTGTACGAGTGTCGCCAGAGCTTGCGCTTGCAGATTATGAGATGAGCCACTTCAAGGTTGATACTGACAAACATAATGTGTTGGGACTCAGGAAGAAAGGATTAGATGGCACGTTTAACAGGCCCCTGTGAAGAAAGCAGGGACCGCTGGGCTGCTTGAGCAAAAACTGCGCCAAAACTGCAGTGTCATCATCAGATCTGGAGGACTCCTCTGAATCCTGATGTTGACAGGAGACACATATGCAAACGTCTCCTTATCATAAATGCTTCAAAAGGTCAAGCGTTGAGCCCCGAAGAACGAAGACAATCTGAGTTGCCCGAAGGAAATGTATCTTTCTTTGTCTTTGCACGACAAAGAACACCAAGTGACGAAGCAAACAGTCTGAAACTCCTCCTCGGCAGAATCTTCCGTCAGGGACCCTCGTAGATTCCAACACTCCTAGTTCATCTCCACATTGAAGACATGAAAGAAGTCCTCCGCAATTTTGATCCTCACCAGCGCCACCCACTGCAGGATGGTGAACCAGCTGCACTTGTTCTGCTCCGCCCACCAGTTCTCCGGCACATCGTCGTCCTCCAGCGAATCATCATCCTCGTCCACCCGCTCGAGCGCCCCTCCCTTTGGCAGCTGCCCCGACCGCCCCACTTTGGTCTTAGCCCTCCCCAGAAGCCCCGACTTTTTCAAAAATCCCGAGTCCGACTTTTTCAACAACCCCGAATTCGTGGGCCTTTCGAATACCCCGGACTTCTGGAGCCCGGACTTCTGGAGCAGACCAGACTTTGCGACGGCGTCTGGTTTGTGGATCACCGTGTCTTTGCTGGCAAACATGCCATTCTCCCGAGGGTCTCCGAGGCGAGACGTTTTCGTGCGGTTGAAGACTCTCGAAGGCATCGGCCTAGGGGACTCTAACCCAATTCTGCCACTGCCCTCGTTTGCGAAGCCCCCTCCCAGATCCGGACTCATGATTTCGGACTGAGGGTGCTTCAATGCGGGCGTAATCTTGTCACTGCCATTCGGGCTTGGCTGACCTCTCTTGGACCCCCCCGGAGAATGAGGCACTCGAAGCGATGGCAGCCGTTTGTTGAAGCGACTCAAAGTTGAATCGGAGCGCATCTCAATGGGCAGGTTTCCAGAGCGCCACGCCTGGAGAAGTGGACCCCCATCATCCTCGTCTGAATCTCCCCCGCCCGACGGTTTAGTGCTGGCGCCTTCTTTCTGTCCAAAGCGGGAGGGCCTTGGAGATGAATCCACCGTAATCCTTGTTTCACGGGGGGATAGGGGACGACCAACCTCGGAAGACTCCGCCTTTTTGGGTTGCACGCTGAGCGAAATCTCCGAGGAGAGGGGGTTGATCCACGTCTGCGGCACATGGGTGGCAATTCCGACCCCAGAGGCGGACAGAGGGTCGCTAGATCTACGGACACGGTTCTGTAACTGGTTTGCAGAGGCAATGGGTGAATTTGGATGTACGGTGGGGCTGCGAGAGGCAGGCTGCCAAGTTGGGATCTGGGTTTCGAAACCCCCGGCCGTAGTGTTGGGGCCGGGGAAGCTGTGAGCGTGCGCGGTGCTGCCAGCTGGCGGCGTGTGTAGCGGGTGGGAAACACCATCAGCAGGCTGGCCTAGGAACGGGTTGTTGTGCGGCGGGCCTGCATGCGAGCTGGGAAAGTGGGCGAATGTGCTGTCTGGAATGGAGATTGGGGGGGGAGCTTTAGAATCCAAACTGTCCTGCTCCTGAAGTGACGTCACAGAGACACTGTGCAATCTAGACAGGGGCTGTCCACTCCCCAAAACCTCGAGCTTGGCGCCCCTGGCGCCTCCACCGGCCTCAGATCTAGCAAGGTTTCTTACATCCTCCGCCACTCCCAAGTTGCCAGCTGTCGCGTCCTGAGCTGTCAGACCTCCTTTCCGCTCCTGAGCAAGGCTGTCGTTTCTTTGCAGGGAACTTGTAAAGCTACTAGCTTGCTCTGTGCAAGATCCTGCTGTAAAGGAAGAAGCTTGTCTTTCCATTGGGCGTGGTCCAAGCGGAGAATGTCCGGTAGAGTTGTTGCGGGTCAATGCTGCAAGCGGGGGCCGGCTGCTCGTGGGGAGGGTTGGGGTGCCGCTCATGCTGGAAAGCTCTGTGTCGTCCCTGGTGTGGAGGTGCTGCAAGGCGCCCATGTTGTGCTGTTCGACAGAATAGCCCCGCGAGCAAATGCTTCTCGAACCTAGGTCCTACGGTAGTCAGTGGCCAGAAAGCTCATGCACATTGTCATCAATCACGATTGATCATGATGGCGGCAGTGGACTCTGGAGCAACGAGCAACTTGGCAAGACGCACTTGTAATTTGTAAACGTGGTGGGATAGTCACTATCCTAGTGCCAGCTGGCTGTTTTTGGCTGACCATCTTTCCAGGTTATAATTTCAGCCGTTAAATTAGCAGCTCTCGGCTGCTAAATCAATGGCGGCACTTGAACGTAAGAGCATTTGTGTTGCACGTGCATTTGGAAAACTTACGATGTGTGGTTAAAGTTCGAATATTCTTGCCAAATTGGACTTTCCAAGTAGATCAACTCTCGACCGTCCGTTGATGTTTTGTAAATCTCACGGTGCAGATTCCTTGAGAGTAGGTATGGAAGAACGCAACTTCCTTGCGAGCTGAGCCTGTACTAGTAGGCTAGGCTTGAAGTTGATCACGCGCTGGACAGAATGCTGTTCTCAGGATGAAAGTTGAACCAAGTCTTCCCATTATCCTAGGTACTTCGACATTCAGGGGGAATGCTCTGCAAGCCCGTGTAGTATTCAACTTTACATCAAAAGGGTGCTTTCTTGCTCTGATTAGTGCAGCATGGTAGCCGTCGAGTCACGCATTCGCTTCTGAGTCGATCAAAGGTGCGCAACTTTCACCTTGGAAAAGCACCTAGCGCTGGCATGCTCTCCTGCATTGATCAACATGGCGTCCCTGATCCGCCAATTGTGGCCATCTGTTTCCTGCCATGCCTGGAACAGCGATCAGAGCATGCTGGCGGTTTGCCCAAACAGTAATGAGGTTCACATCTTCCGTGTGCCGCCAGGGAGCGTTTCAGGAAGCGAATTGGAAAGGATACATGTTCTGAAGAATCATGATCAGCTGGTGTCCGGGATTGACTGGGCGCCAAGTTCAAATTGCATTGTGACTTGTTCACATGACCGGAACGCGTGAGTGCAAGTTGTTCAAACCGTCTTTTATTTGAGAATTTGCGTCAAACAGGTCTGTCGCTCATCATGTCTTTTGAACGTGAGTTTGGACTGGAGAACAAAGGGAAAGCAGCAAACGGATATCCGCTGGTCGCTTTCTGCAGTTCTGATGCTACATTTGGTGGCTGGAATTATCAGACTAGAATTTTGGTCACCACCTCCCTGGGACAATAAAGCTAGCGCCAACCAACGTCATCACTTGCACTTGAATACTGTAGCATCTCATGTTGGTCAAAGAAAATAACACTGACAGCTCGAAGACACGGACCAGTACTCTTTTGTTTTGGGTGTTCTCCACCCTGTCAATGCGAACAAGTTTGGAATATCAAAACTCAGTCCTTGAGGAAGCAATGGGCAGAATGGAATTGCGTCCAAGGCGTCAAGATCTTTAATACGAGAGTCCTTAGATCTCCTGCACTTCGGAGCCCATTCTGTTTCGTTGTGCCACCTTGCAGATACGTGTGGAACTTTGACGGCAAGGAGTGGCAGCCCGTGCTGGTGATTCTACGGTTGCAACGGGCCGCCACCTCAGTCAAGTGGAGCAGCAAGGAGAACAAGTTTGCAGTGGGGAGCGGGGCCAAGAGCGTCTGCGTGTGCTACTACGAACAAGAAAACAACTGGTGAGGGGGAGTTGGTCCCGCTAAGCTAGCATGTTAACCAAACATGCCAGGTCTGATTAACCAACCAAGCAGTTGCAAGGACTGGCGGCAGGAACTTGGTCAAACATGAACTATAAAAGCGCTGATTTCTGTGGAATTGACAACCACGCTTTCCCATTGTTAGTAAGCTTTGAAAATGATGTTCCCGTTTTTGGGTCGCCATCTTGGCTGGCCCTGACAATATCAGGAGTTTGTTCCAGCTAGTGTTCGCTTGCAATGTACTCATCCCAAAAAGCCTGTAATAAACATTGTTCGTCGCATCTTGAGCACCTTCTAGAATTCACATTGGGCCTCTCTTCATCTCCGTTTCCGTTGAGCCTTGCCCCAGTGCTTTGCTGTATTTCCCGTTCGTACATAAGTCACCGACGTTTCTTTCTCGGCCACTTGCCCGCAATCTGCAGATGGTCTTCACCTCAGAGCAAAGTGTCGGCCCAAGACACTGCGGCTCGTCTGCTCACCCTGCCCAGTCACATGCTCGTTTTGCAGGTGGGTGTCGAAACTGATACGGAAGAAGCACAGCTCCACAGTCCAGAGCGTGGCGTGGCACCCCAACAACGCGCTCCTGGCCACCGCAAGCACCGACTTCAAATGCAGAATCTTCAACGCCTTTGTCAAGGGCGTGGACGCGAAGACGGACGCGGTTGGAGACACCAAGTTCGGGGACGTGAGTGCACTGTTCCTATGGGACCGACGAACAGTGGTGATGACTGCTAAAGTTGCGGTTTTGTTTGTAGCATGCTTTGTCAGAATCCGTAAAACAAGAACGTGGTTTTTGAGTCGCCGAAAGGACCCTGATGCCGTGTGGTTTCTCCAGCATCGGCGGTTCAAATTGACCGCTAGCCCAACGTGCTCGCCATTGGGTATTACTGTACAAAACGGATGCAGGGTCCAGCTCGGCAACTCGAAGCCACAATTGCCTTCCATGGGTTTTTTCAATACAGATCTGGCAATATCGGGACTCGCTGCAAGCGGCTGTGAAAACAGAGATTTGTGATCCAACCACCAAAGCCATCTGAGCATAAGTAAGGTGGCCGTGTTATATACCTGCACAGGGGTAAAGTTGGCGCAAAGTGAACATGGAAACATGTCGTTTTTCAAGGCGCACAAAGAGCCCCGAGGACACTGCTTGACGGCCGCTGTGCCGTTCGCCCGTTTCTTCTGCCAGGTTCTGATGCAGATTGACTCGGCAAGCGGCTGGGTCCATGATGTCGACTGGTCCCCGTCCGGAGAGAAGCTCGCCTTCACCGCCCATGACTCGTCCCTCCACGTCATTGACATCGGCGCAGGGACACCGGTCCAAACAGTCTCTATGAAAGAGTTGCCGCTGCGGGCGGTGAGTAAGCGTTCCGCTTGTGGACCAACTCAGGGATTGAGGATACCACGAAATGCCCTTTGATGGTGGTTGTTCTACGCTTAGGTTGTGTGTCGAACTTTCTCATTGCCTTGAAGATGGCAACTTGTGAGGAACTACAAAATATTATGGTCGCGGCTTTTAGTATCAGCGGACAAGGCAGTATATGAGAACGATGTGAGCCTGCTCCCCGAAGTCTCAGCTTTATCGCCTTTTCTACAGCGGGTGTCGATAGAATATTGCGAAGTGTGCAGAAGCGACCAGTCCTGTGTATATGAAGCACTCCACGTCCAGTTGATGCTATGGTCTGAGGCGAGGGACATCGACGGGCATCACAAGATTTTTCCAAGTTCTGGGGCTTAAAATTCAACAATAGGATGCCTTGACAATGATGGGAAAGTACGCTCGAAACGAAATGACTATTTGCACCTCGAGGAGCCGTTACTGCGGGGGGCTGCCGCCTCCGACTCTGGCAAAGACCTTCCTCGTGGCGTCATATCGCTTGCGCTGTCGTGACCCCCTTTTTTTCACCCGTTTCTGCAGGTGTTGTTCCTATCGGAAACGCGGCTCGTTGCGGCGGGCTACGACAACGTCCCGTTTCTTTTCGGCCTGAATGACAGCGGGTCTTGGTGCCTGCTGAAAAACTTGGACGAGCCGAAGGCTTCTTCAGCGGAGAAGTCGGGCTCCACGTTTTCGTCCGCCTTCGAAAAGTTTAAGGGGCAGGGTGCGCCGACCGACAGCCTGGAACCGCTCAAGCCCCCCGCCACTATCCACGAAAACTGTATCACGTGAGTAATCTGCCTGACTTTGTCTTCTGGTTTTGCGGAAGGTCGTCGAATGTGCAGAGCCGGAGGACGACAAGTGGCGGTCATGACTGGGCAGGAACGATTCTTTGAATTGCTCTTTATAAAGTCATTGCAGCAAATTGCCTGCCGAATGTTGGACTCTACCTCGCTCAGTTAGTCGACTTGCTGCAAAGAAGCTGATCTTTGACTATGGTCCGCTTTCTCCCAAAGAAAGCACTCAAAGCGCCGTTTGTTCTACATTGAAAGAGTGCCCGTGTTTGCGCGGCTCTGAAATATTACACGGTGGCAGCAGTTCTGTGCAATTTGCATGACGCCGCTCACATTCTGCTCTCACGCGTTGCCCCTCCAACCTCTGTCAGGACTTTACAAGCCCTGGGACCGGCGGGCTACTCAAGTACGACGCGATTCAGCTCTTCGGGTCTTGATGGCAAAGTCGTAACCTGGGAGTTGAAGGGCGTTCTCGAGGGGGTGTCGGGATTAAAGCTATGACCTTGGCTGCCGTGTACAATATGGGATCTAAACAAGCTAATGGAAAGCGGGCTCACAGTCGATTCCTACATGTCATACTTTGTGTCTTGCGGCAACCTTGATGATAACAAGTAGATGCGGATCGATAGAGCACGTCTGCGCCGGCGTCTTGCCAGGTGCGCGTGTGACTTCACGCCATGCCAGGCGCAAAGGTGGGGGTATTGCATCCCAAACATGCCCAATTCTCGACCGAATAACTTTCTCTCGGACTGCTGAGTTGGACTATGCAAACCGCCGCAGAATGGTACAGACTCACGTGACGATCCAGTCACGTGCACATGTGGGCGCCAACTCCGCACTTTGATCAGATTACTAGATGTAAGTAGAGAATGAGCTTGCAGAAACATCCGAAATATATATCTGATCGTTCGAAATAACAGTAGACACTGGACAGGTAGCACCTTGGATCTAAGTTCAGACTATGCCAACCTCCGGCCCGAATTATTTTTACACTACATGTATGCCACGGCCGCCTTGTGCGTTGCGCGGCCGGTGCATATGAGTCCACGTGTCAGCTAGTATTCTTATATACTGGGGCTTACCGTCCGTCATATACGTGGCCGGGCCGCGGCTGTCACAGCTAGTTCACCAATCTCCGCTCGTATGATTCTTCGCCAATTTGCATATTGCGCGCCAGCTTCATATCCAAAGTCCAGCCGTGCTCATCATACCAACGGGACGGATACGTACATGTGCGCAATCAAACAAAGTTGAACGCAATATAACGCAGTCATGGACAGGAGGCAGCCTGCAAAACGATCAACTTTCGACAAGGACCTGTGGTACAAGCACACCGGTAAATGCAAGGTCCTGAGCATCTGCTCAACTATGTCATGTCGTCTTCGTCTATTCCGAGTTCCTCTTCCTCGTCTTTCATATTTAACGTCTTGTTTGCGCTCTTCTTCATCTCAATCACGTTCCCCGTTGGCAATCCCTTGGCCAGTCTGACAACCTGTCGGAGAAGAGAGGGCGAATCAAAAGTGGTACCTTAAGGGTCACGAAAAGCTTCAGTCTGCGTTCAGAACACTTCAGGTATGAACACCCTGACTTTATGCTCTGCAGCTTGTGTGCAAACAACGAGGATCCTTGAGCCAGATCGTCCAATTAAAATCCCCACGATTAAGTCTAAAATCGTGTTCTTCTTAACCCGCAGGTCCGGAGTTGCAAGTTCCGCTCACCCTTCATATTGCCCGTCGGAAAGAGTCCTGGCTCTGCCAACTCGAGAGGTCGCACTTTGAAACTGAACCTCTAATGAAGGCTGCCGTGCGGAGTGCAAATCCAAGATTCTGTCATGGACTTTCCGTTTGCTCCTGTTTTCGGAGCTTTTCTCTTCAATATCGTCACTCGACTCCTCAGAAATACAGTTACCAAGGACTTGCAGGAGCTCACCAAGTGATCTAGATGGGGGATGACGTTGCTATCCTTGACGATGTACTTGATGTCATCCACATTTTTGTCGTGATAGGCGTCTAAGAGTTGGGAGGCGCATCGACCCTGCTCGCTGTTGCTAAATGCATCGACTCTGTCAAGAAGCGGATCAGACCATCCGTCAAGCAAATTGAAGATTGAATTGTTCTCAGAGATGGCCCTCGAAGAAGGTGACGCCTTAAATCAGAGTGGAAGACTTTCAATGCAACATCTGTATGCAAGCTTTTGCAGGCGACCAGCAGGGTCTCAATCCACCGGCAACAGATCTGCGACCAGAGTTGAGCGGTTGAGCGATCACTGCAACAACTTTTGCCCACAGACATCTGCAGTGGCAATTTGCAAACAATCACCCACGACAGAAGTGTAGCGCAACTTACCCGCTGAGGTCGTTGTAACATAACTCTGCTTTCGCCAGATCCTCCGCGTGAAGGAGGATGATAATGGCACTGAGATAATGCTGCGAAGACAAATCGAAGAAGCTTCTCGGATATGCACTCTTCGCATTAGCACTCCGACCAGTCTGAATACTGCATACTGGATGCGGGCTCGTCCAGATTAGTTCCAAGTTTTGCCTTTCACATGCTTCGGTTACTCCAACGGCTGATGTAATTCAACGAAAGCTACTGCAGACAAGCAAAGAGTGACGCACTTGCTACTCATGATAGTCAAGTGGTCCCGCATTTGTTCCACAGACAAGCACAAATTGCAAGGAAGCAAAGTTGTCAATGTCTGCCCTCACCTTGCACTGGGAAGCAACGGCTTTGGTTGCATCGCAAGCCTGGCCCCAACGGATGAACAGGTTTGCTGCGTCCTCATACCTGTATTTGACAGATGCACGAATCAAGACCTTTACATTGGATGACACTTTCAACAGCAGCGGGTAACAAGCTCTTGAGCGCAGCTTCTGTGCATTGCCAATTGAGCAGCTTTGAGAACCTTCTTCAGCAACGATGGAAGCCAAAGGCAGTCCAACGGACTCAGTCCTAACTCCAGCAGACCAAGCATTAAGTAACTCAACTGGTCGATCCTCTTGTAGGCGGCTGTCTGGGCCGTCATAGGGGTCACGAAAGAAAAGCTGCCTAATAAAAGCTACATCTCTAACACGAACAGCTCTCTCCAAAGCCATCACCACCGAGTCTGTTTGATGTACCGTGACTCACTTTTTGCTCTTGATCATAGAAGCAGCCGCCGCTCGATACAGATCAGAGGCCAATCCCTCCTTTTGTTCCTCTTCAAACACTGAGATAGCCTCTATGTAAAGCTTGATCGCCTCGTCTGGTCTCTCAGCCTCAATTGCCCTGCACGCAGGTGTTGCACTTCGTCCCACCTTAAATTCAGGTTATACAATCTGGCCGGCGCCATCAGACTACCCTTAATCACCTTGAAGATGCACAAGAGAACATAGACGTGAGCTAGGCAGTTCTCCTATCAGCAAACGCGTGTGAAGCGCGTCAAAGTCCTCAAACACTTAGGGTATCTAGGTGAAATAAACCACCAGAGCACCATCACTTACTTTGCTGCCTTGCCATACGCTTCTGCAGCCACTTGAGGTCTCCCAACTTCGTTGTACAGCTCTGCTGCTCTTTTGTAAGTGTCAAGTACCTCGTCCCACTGCTTCAACTCTTTTGCCAAGGAAGCGGCCGACTCAAGATGCTTTGCCCCAAGCCATTTGTTGTCGGTTCGGCATTGGCCAGTGGAGGCCCTCTCATAGCAGTGCTTTGCTTGCTCGAGATTCTTGGCCAGCTTGTACAGACTTGCTGCATCAAAAAGAGAGCTGGGGTAAATCAAACTTGAGGCAGCGAGGTCCGACCCCTTGAAGAAAGGAGCTAGGTCCATGCAGAACACTCTCTACGTTGAAATTAACTCAAGAGAGATAGAGTTGCTTTACACACTCGCAAACATAAAGCAAGCGATCAGTTCAATCTCTTAAGCTGTTGGCTCTAACAAAAACCTTTTGAGCACACACTGCACTGCCAATTTCCAACAGTGTCTGTTGACTTCAAGCGTGGCAGATAGTCTGCAACCCTTGCATGACGATACTGGGAATTGAGCATCTGTTTCTTTCATCCCTCCGTTCATATCTGGCATTAGGGTTTAGTCCGGCATATCTTAACCAAGTATGCCGGCTCTACTTCTCAAGGTTACTTGCCTGCCTTCTCATAAAGAGGCGTAGCTTTCTCAAAATCTGGGCCCCATCGAGTAAGCGTGACCTTGGTGCTGCACAGCATTCACAAAACAAATTAAAGGGCAATCATATGAAGAGAAAATTGTGTCGCGTTGCAGCACCAACTATGCGCCAATCAGGGCAGATACCGCAATCGTTCGATGTGGCTGAATGGGCTGAGAGAAGCCATTGCTGCCTAAAGGAGATCAAAGATTCTCCAATCACTGCAACAGCGAGCGGAGTTCGCTACACTGGGCCGGTCAGATCCAATTCAGGGCAAAAGGATCTCACTATTTGTCCGCCTTCTTAAGAGCCTTGTCAGCTTCTTCCAAGTTGGCCATAAGTCCTCAGTTAAGGGCCCTCAAAAATGGAGCGCCGTTTGCCAATCTACGAAAACTCCCTCCCCTCAACAGCCAGCTTAGGCTGGAATTCTCTGCACTTTACACTCTGCTGTCAAACAAGCCGCACGCCTATGCTTGAAATTCGATAGACCAAAAAGTCGTCCTCCCAAAGCAGGAGATTCGCAAAAGTGCGCTACTCTTTCATGCAGTGGTTCTGCTCTTTCACTCTTACCAATCAATTTCTGTTCCTGCCTGACGAGTCCAGCATAGCTTCTGTCAACCGTCGAGGAATTGACGGCTGTACGGTCGGTCCTTTGAATCGGGAAGCACCTGCACCGTCGATAAAGTTTTCCTTGGACAAGGTGGACGCACTTCGCGACTGTAGAAAGCGGCTCAAGCTGGCTCGATCAAATGGATAGAAGCGGACAGAAGTGGATGGACAGCTGAAAACAGATCATCGAAGATGATGGACAGCATCTGAAGCTTGAAGACCTGACGAATCTTGCTTGAAGTATTCCTAGCTGCATGTTGCAGATGTTGAAGGAAACAGGCCTCAGCCGGCAGCCTCTGTGTAGCCCAATTGCATGATAGAAGCAGGTAGCTCGTCTGCAACAAGCCCTTTCTTCCAATTGTCGATGAGCCGCCATATCGAATACAATATTTCACGGCAGAGATCAGCTGGAGCAAGCTAGGTGCATTAGATTGACGAAGTAAGCTGGAGCAATGGAAGGTAGGGAAACGGATTGCACAACGTCTCAATTGTGCTGCCCCTTTTATCTGGGTCCGTTGCTGACAACGGACATTCCAGCTGTGCTGAAGCTTTCTCGAGAGTGCTTGGCTTTGTTGCTCAAGGTGAACATTAAAGGTTGTGTAGAGCTCTGATGAGGTTTTTGGGCTCTTGATGCCAGAACAGCTTGCTGAGACATTGAAACGAAAAGTGTGCAATAGTCCTACAAGGGCTGCTGGTGGAAGTTGGGAACCGTTTCGGCCTGACTGCTTAGCAAGGTCGAGGTATCTGATTCATGAAGCACTCCATTGGAAGCTGCTTTGGTAGTCTGTTTAAGCTTGACGGCAATGAGTTGGGGAGCTGCGTTTTACCACCCTGTTGCACGACTCACTCTAGTTTCTCTTGGCAGGAGGCGGACCTTTTCGTCCGTCAACAGGACAGCGCGCCAGCATGAATGGAGGAATGCAACCACCGCCGACAGCATACCGTCAGTCAGCCGCAGGGTATGCGGCGCCTGGCACAGCAAAGGCAGGCATGCGGGGCCTAGCATCGCGAGGTGGGGGAAGACCAGGTGAGTGCGGCGGTCTCTTGTTTGCCCCTTGAACAATGGAAGTCGTGTTGATGGACACTTCTCTTAAAGCCCGTGCGTATCAAAGGCATGGGGCGGATCAACAAAGAGCATATGTAGGGTGTAGAGACTGACAATGGAGAGCTAAGATGGTTCATGATGATTGCAAGAAGCTCAACGATGCCAGCGCTCTTTCACAAGCCTCCTGCCAAGCTAAAGACCATCCAGCCAGGGTGGCATGCTGAGCCAGCTACTGTGATTTGCAGGGACCGGGAGCGTTGGGCTGAATACAGATGTTCAGGTCTCGGAGAGGCCCGTCACCCAGCAAGGTCTGGTGGGGATGAAGACTGGCAGTCAAGGTGATCTCCTCGGCACCCTGCCCACTAGCCGCCAGAAATGTCATCCTTGTTTGCTGTAATGACACCGACACATCTCTTGGTGGGTGCTGCCAAGAGCCACATGCGGTCTCTGTGAGCACATGTCCTCGATATGGTGAAAAAAGTATCTTCACACGCTGAGTGTACCGAGCTCGAAACCAGACATGAAGGATTTTTGAGCGTTGGAAAAATGTACCTCTTTCCGCTCACCTCGAGTGACAGACTAGCCCCAGCCTGAACACGCGTGCTCTCATTGCAGGTCCCGGCCGGCAGATTGCTGACAAGTCGTACTACCTGACGCGCCTGAGAGCCAAGAAGCAGGAGCTGCAGGCAGAGATTGATTCTCTGACCTCAGAGATGGGCCGCTTTCAAAAGGACGACACCACCAGCGCCCAGCTCGAGAGGAAGTGAGCAGCTCGCCTTTCTTGCACACTGTGCAACGTAGCTCCTGTTGGGGGCCAAGGTGTTGAAAGAACAAGAAAAGCTGCACTGGTTTGCTTTCTCTTTCCGATATAGCTGTTGGAAAGTTGACAAGTTCTTTGCTTAAAACCCTCTCCCCGACTTGGGTGTTGTTCAGGTTGGAAGGGGTGACCAAGGAAGTGAAGGGGTTGCAAGGACAGCTTGCGGACTACAATTTCGTGCTGGACAAGGTTGGCGGCACCGCTCTCAAACTTGTTGCTTTCGACAACAAAGTGATGCAACTCCGGTAAATGGATGACAAAACCCGTAAGCTGATGAGTATTGCGAGCGTCACTCTCTTGTAGCAACGCGACGCCCTTCTGCACCAAAAAAGAAGGAAGCAGAATATGTGAAAATGGGCGCCGTCTATTGTTGCGAATGAAGGAGTCCATCGAGCTCGAATAATCCGCAAGATATAAGTTTATAATGTGCCTCCTTGCAAAGGCGTTTGCAGCAAAAGCTTTGATCGTTGCTCCTAGCCCTGAGGTAGATCAAGGCCAGGCCCTGTTCCCGAGTATTCTTATGCATGACAATCGAAACCTTACGCGATGTTGCCTAAGCGTCCGCCTGCTTTTTCCCATCTTCAGGTAGGCCATAGCGTACCGCTGGAGCAACTAAAGGAAGAACTCCGGACGATCCAGGAGCAGAACGCCCGGCAGCGGCGCAAAGTGGACGGCCTCTTCACTGAGCGCGCGCAGTAAGAAAACAAATCAATTAGCTCGCACCTTATCAATCAAGCACCGTATTTGCTATGCCAGGCTGCAATTCAACACAGAGTGAGGCGAAAACGAGGCCGTGTCTTGTAAGCATTCGGCTTGCTACTGTTCACAGACATGGAACGGACAAAGTGCTTGCTTCAGTGAAGTAGGGAAGCATGCGATTCCTTCTATACAATGCAGGAAGGAGCAGCAAGTACGGGAGGCTGAGGCAGAGGCGGAAAGGATTCAGAGGGGCATGGAGACGCGGCTGAACGAACTGGTAGGTGGCACCACAGCCGCGGAACGGTCTGGCCCAAGCGCGCGCCAGGTCGCTCTAAAGTATCCCTGTACAAATTGCGACTGGTCGGAGAAGGAACGGGCAAGAGTCCGCATGAGGCGTACATGCTCTTGCAGGTCACTGCACCGTTCACGAGCCGGACGCGGCTACGCGACACTTAACGTAATGGGAGCTCGTTTTGCACTAGGAGGAGGAAGAAAGGCCTGGTGGCTTTCGTTTTGCAGGGCCCCGAGCGGCGGCAGCAATACCTCGACCTACAACAGGAGAACCGACAGCTGGCAGCCGTGACGGCGGACCTAGAGCGACAGCTGGCTGACATGAACGGCACTCTGGCCGCCATGGAGAAGGTGGGCCGTCGCCGGGGTGGTTTTCTTGGTGGTCTTCTTCGTATTTGCTGTAGATTACAGGAATGGTCAATCAGAGGTTCTTTCCGCAGAACGACACGCTCTCAGGTGTACTTTAAGGGACGTTCTACTTTGCTTGCTTCTTCAGTAGTGGACATTTAGTACAGCCATTGCGCGGGAAACTGAAACACGCGCTCCAGCTTTTGAAGAGGAGAAGATGCTTTGTCTCCATTTTAATAACTTTTTTACAGGTCCAAAAACAGTAAGTCGGTCCTTTCGCGTTCACTCTCTGCTGGACAGGGGTTCGGTTGCCGTTTCCTGAAAGCACCTCTGCCAAGCTGTGCCCAAAGAAAGTCGCGTCGCTTCATATCATCACAGCTCAATACCTTACAGTCTTCACTTATCCCACCAGCTGTAAGGCACGGGTCTGTTCTGACACGTGTCTCGCTGTCCCTTTTCCAGGAGCTGTCGAGCAGCAGCATCAAGCAGCGCGCGCTGGTGCTGCAGCAACAGATCCGCGCGCTCGACGCGCGCAAGCGCGAGCTGCAAGTCGAGGAGCAGCGGCCGCAGCTCAGCCCCGAGGAGGCGCGCGAGCAGCTCATCCAAAAGGTGGGCCGTCAAAAGGCATTGCAGAACAAGACGCCAAACGTTATCACATTCACGTCGAAAAATCGGTGGCGAGGTGCTGATTCCTTTTCAAACCAAGTGGTGCTTCACGTCTTTTGAGTGTCACGTAAATCTCAGAAAGCCCGGTTTGAAATTGCAGATTTTGAGATGCGCAACACAATGAGACGGTTGCGATGGTAGATGTAGCACTCTCTCCCAAACGCCGAACTTGATCTCGAGGATAGAGCAGAGTCGAGCTTGACTCCTGCAACTTTTTGGTTCCTCCTCCGACCAATTCGTGCAGTGTGCAGATGTTCTTTCTCTATACTGTGAGGTACTTCTGGATATTCACCAGTCTGTTCCAAGTAGGAGCAGAAGAAAGGGGCTATTGTAATTATCAAGCGTAGAACTCTGTACGGTGCTGCAGATGCGCCGTGACAACACGGACATCGCAGCCGCGGAGCAGCAGATCCGAGAGCTGGAAGATGCATTGCGGCGGGACGAGAGCGCGCTCGACAGCTTGAACGCGGAGCTCACAGAGCAGCACGGTAAGAAAGCGTGGAGCTGTGAGCCGGACACGTCCAGGCCTTTTGAAAGTTGGTATCCGCTCGCAATGCGAACAGGGAAGCATCTTTTGCTGCTTCAACTCTTGAGCCAAAGATGTGCAAAGCATACTAAACATTTTTTCCACCAAGCATCACTGAAAATGACTGGCTGGTCTCATTTCATACACTAGTCACTCATTAGCGTGGCTGAACGTGAAGGCAGCCGCCTGAGACTCCGCCATTCTTACGAGTGCCTGCGGTAACGGGTTTCGTAATGAGAGCGTTTGTTTCAGGAGGGCGTGTGCTTTTGCGAGTGACCGTAAGTGTGCGTGCAGACGAGAAGGACGAGGAGAAGTTCCGCGAGCTGCAGAGCAAGGACCGCGACATGCAGGGCTTCATCGACGGCTACGAGGAGAAGAAGGCGGCCAGCGAGCAGATGACGGCAGACGCGCAGCAAAACATCGTCCGACTGCTCGAAAAGATCAGCCTGGTGCGCACGGGAATGCGTGATCTCGTTTTCAGCAGCGTCTTTGGTAGATGACTTCAATAAGCATGCGCAAAGCATTTGGAGGCCGCATCCTTTATTTTTCATTCAAAACGATGATTGCTTTTTCGATGGGACGTCGTTAAGATTCGCTCTGGTCCTCGCGATGACCAGTTGATTGTTTGCAGGCCTATTTTCGGTCTCATCTATCATCTTCTGAGTGTGCTTCTGTTAATATGTATGCTTTTAAGCACCTGTCTTCCAAGATTGTACTTTGCACAGTCTCACATGGAGGTTGGCCTGTTTGCAGGGCCACGAGCACCAGGCTCAGCACGGCACGAAGGGCCACCTTGATGTGCTGGAAGACGACGCGCACAAGCACCTAGAACCATCCCAAGCCACCCCGCAGAAACTCCTAGAAGGTACGCAGCTTACCGGCCCGCTCTGACTGTTAAAATGATGTCATCGGGACACTAGTATCAAACTAGAGGAATGTCTGTGGACCTTTTGTTTGCTGCAAAAGGAAGACATCATCGAAGAGGCTCAGGAGATGGGTGCGCTTATCTTTTTTGTATCTTGATACTGTTCCTCTGTCAGTTGATTTTAGAGTAGGACACGGCGAACGCGCACCTTCTGAGAATTGAGCGGTGTTGCGAAGATGCTTAATCCTCATCGCTGCAGCAATTCACCAGCGGTCGGCTGAGCTGGATAAGATCAACGTGCTGGAGGGCAAGATCGCAGAGGAGGTGGCGAGCATCAACGAGAAGATGGAGCAGATGAGGCGGGACATGGGCAGGTTCAGCAACGAGACCGAGGCCAAAGACAGCTGGGAGGCTAGGAAGAAGGTAACTCTCCGAATAGCTCGCTGAGCGATATATGGCAATCCGTGGGTGTAGGATTGCCATCGCAGACATCATCGGACGCAGGTACATTTGATCAGCCAATCTCATCATCACAGGTGTTTTGACGGGTTCTAAGACCCTCAAAGTGCAGTTCTCGTTCTGTCTCTTGGCCGGTCTAAAATCTCATCGACTTCGGCCAAGCTCGGTGGCATCCCCGCTCTGTCATTCTAAACTGGTCATTCTTTTCCGCCCTCCAGGATCTCGAAGCGGAGCGTGCTACGGGACAGCACCGGAAAGACGAGCTCGCGCGCCAGATCCAGGAGGGGGCCGCGGCTCTGGACGCTCGGAGGGCACAGCTTTCCGGGAACGAGCATTGGGTGGTCGTGGACAAACTAGAGCACCGGATGCGCGTGCTGCAGCAAAATAATCGGCAGGCGCAAGACATCCTAGAAGCGAGAGGGGAAGAGATGGACTGCAAACCCGTGCTGATGGAGGTCACTAATCTGCTGACGGAACTGAATACCCAGTGCCAAAAAGCTGCCCTTGTGTGACTTCCTTACTTGCCTTCCTGGAAAAAATCAAGATCACCAGGATTCTGGCCGTCCTACGCGAAACCAAAATTTTCAAGTGACTTCGGAAGACTGCCGAGCTGCTACATTTCTATCCGATGATGTGAAAGCTTGAAAGCGCTGTATACTTGGGCCCAGCGTGCCTTTTGAAACTCGAGAGGGCTCAGCCTATACTGCAACTTTTGAGTTGTTTGCTTTGAGCAGATTATTTGCAATGATCACGATTCATTCCCTCCAAGAAAGCTATTACATAAGACCTTGAAAGCAGTACAGTGCAGGTTGTCTAGTAAAATCAATTTGAAAGGTACGCTCGACAACGATTTGGCTCGAAAGCGCAGGCCAATGTCATTTACCAGTGAGACATGCGAAGGCGAGCTCATGCGTAACCTGTTTGTGGAATTCGTTAACTGATACGATAGCTGGCGGCTTCGAATATGATTAGGCATCAAAAAGAGTTCAAACCTCGTGGATCGTTGATCTCATGCATGCTCTCCCCCCATCATTGTTCACCATGTACGCAGTCCTTATCGGATACTTGAAGCTCGCGCCTATAATGCAGAACAAGGTACGTACGACAGATTATCAGGTCGGAGGTCAGGGCCACGTGACGTAAATAACGTCACATGTCGTATGTACCTGCATGCCCGACGCCGCTCTTACGAGCATGGCGGTGACCATGCCAGATTCGTAATTAAATCAAGGAGGAAACTTAGACAAGCAAAGTGCGGCAAATTCACGGTCTTTTATCGTCGTAACACTATCTCAGACCTTTCATATTCTACTTGGCCCATTAGAGTTGAAGCAATTGAAACGTATCGCCTTAAGCATCACAGAGAGTCTGACAAGCAAATGCTGTCATGCTTCCACTCCTGTCTCAAGCCCTTTCTTCACGAAGGCGAGATTGTTTACTATATTGCAGATGACCGGGTTGTTGACCGTGCTCTCCGAAAAATGCAATGAAGAGCTGCAATTGACAACCTCAAATTTCCCTGTCAGAATTACAGATTGGAGAAACGATGCTCAATTGTCATGAGTATTAGCTTGATCTCAACCAGATTAAATTCCGAGCCAAAAAGCAATGGACTTTATTGCTGCACTTAAGTAGCGTTCTCAAAACCAGTTTCTGGCAAGTCTTTGCAGCTTTCAGCAGCTATTACTCCTCGTTCTCGTCCACTCGTGGAAGCGAGTACTGCAAAGAAGCACTGGTTTTTGAGTTCTTGCAAACTGCAAAACTAATGATGTGGTCGCTGAAGCAGGTCAACAATACTGGCCAGACACAGTCCATCGCATTGAACGCTAGTCGAGCTGCTGCTACCCTGATCTGCAAAACTACTGTTTTAAGAAGTGGTTACTGAAGCCATTGCAATATAATAAAAACTTACATCGAAAACAATGACTTACCACCTGACGCACAGGTGACTGATGGCTACGTTGATTCGTGGGTGACTCATTCGGCACACTCAAGCGCTGATCCTTCTTGTCTGCATCCGAGGGACTTCTAGCATCGTCTTCGACCTCCCTGCTCTTCTCTTTGCCCTGTATAAATTCTGGTCTTTTTCAGAACCCATACTTATCACATGTTGTAATGATCTATTCTGTCAGAAGCGACACAAGAAGTAAGATAAGAGCACCTGCAAATCTGACGTACCAACGATGAATCCATGGGACGTGGTTTGATGTAACCTTGAGCATAAATGACATGCAAACAGCCTGAACACCTTTTTGCCGCATGTCAACAAAAGCTTACATGCAAAGATAACTTTTTCGGAGACCTGGCCTGACCTTAGGACTTCTGGAATGTGCCCGTCTCCGCTTGTTTCTTGGTAATCGAGACTCGATCTCAGGGTACTCGTCGAAGATATTGTCTTCATCAAGCAGCGAAAACCCTCGATGCTTGGACCTGTTCTTGATGAAAGAGTCGACTTCTGTACCTGCAAATAGAAACCTCTTTATTCCAATTAGGAATAGTAAATCTAAAAGACTCCCACCCTCAGCATGCCGTTGTACTCAACAACAAACCTGTAGGTATGCACTAATATCAGGCCTTTCATTAAGAAGCTTCTAGAGGTGAACGGTAGAAGAGCTCTCATTTTCCAGCGATGCCTGTACAGAGAATCTCACCTGCATCATCTGAATCAAGCGAAGGACGGCCAGTATAACCAACTGAAGTGCCTGATATCCCAGATTTGGTCTTCTCATTGAACGAGTCACGAGAGCAGCTTATGCATCCTGCTGCTTCCAAGCTGAATTGAGAACCCTTCGACGACCCAAGCGAATGGAACGAGATGCTCGACATGCTTCAGAATGTTCTATAACGCCGCCGCCAGCTTGAGTTCAGCCACAATACTGCTTGACGTATTCTACTTGGATATTCCTAAAGCAGATCCCTCACGGATTGGGGTAGCAAGCATGGCTTTTCCAACTTTTCAGCAGCGCCGGTGCCACCAAGGACAACGATCCTGGCGAGAGACTTCGATCGATTCCGTGCCTTGTGGACGCTTCGATGGAAGCCTAATCCTACTGCAGCAGTATATATTGCTGTTGTCAGAATGTCAGCACGGCTACTGTGATAAAGAGCCACCTGAACAATCTGATTTGCACAACTTTGGCCACTGAAGTTAGACCGTCTTCTTCAGGATGTGAATACTCAAGGACCTTGAGAAGTTCGAAGATCGAAGTTCAAAATTCGAAGCCCGAGGTCTTGAGGACGTCGGACACAACGTGTAGCGGGACCAGGCGACTAATATTACGGCAAGTTAATGGAGCTATGGCAGCCTCGAGCTTATCCTGGCAGTACACGTGGCGTATCGAACGGCTGTTACACAATCGTGGAGATTTTGCTCACCCACCATGCAAGGGAATTATTCCAGATCAACCCTCGATCTATTGCTTCCACGCACAGAGATCCTTAGCCCGGGGTGCTCTCTGGCCCGAATTGTCTTCAAGTCGTCTGGCAACTTAACACGCCCGGCAGACTCACCCGCTTTTACCAGCTTATATTATGTGTCAAACACTCGCGATCCTTGCCGGCCTCTCACAGTGGCGGTCATTGAACCAATTATCAAATGAACTTACGCTGGGGAAGACCTTTTTGAACACTGACGTGACTCCACGCGAGTCTTGGTCAAGTCAATCAAATTGAGTCTGCCAGATCAGCTAATGCAAGAATAGAACACCCCATGATGGCGGATGGGCAAATTGCATGCAGGAGCTAGATCGGTATCACAATCAAGGCACTGAGTAGGACACAACGATTCTCGCATGCTTGATCGGACCTCGATCGATCGTCGATCTGGTTATGCCATATGCATGCCCTTTAAGAGGACCTATTGAATGTCCCACTTGTCGATCGCGATATTCTGCCTCATAACGTAAATGCATATCCTCGATCAATATATATAGTTCTACGTATATAAAAATTCGCCACGTGCCTATATAACAGGCGCGGGCGCCCAACCGTGAGCATGCATGTGAAACTTAATCTGCATCACTTTTCGTAATCCCAGATCTCGCATGCGTGATTGAACACTTGAGCTGCATGTAGATTAAGCTCGCAACACCAGTTGAGCTCATTGTCCAGAGCACGTACTCTGACCTACGTGGCCGCGCCAAAAGGTTCGATTTTTTTCCCACCAATCGAATCATTTGCAACTGAGAGATACGCTCTGGATGCTTCCATAGCTAGCACGACTTCTGAGCGACGAAGGCTCACTCCCAGGGCACCACTTTCAATATCTGTACGTACGACATTAGCTGGTTGCAGCCGCATCAAACCTCGCTTTGTTACGGGCTGCCATGTACTAAGTGATGCATGTGATGTTGCACTAGAGCGGACTTATCTGCTTTCAAAGATATACACCAGATGACAGCAGTTTACAAGAACTTTGCGCCTCAATCACACACCTGACGATAAACTGCATTGCGGTCAATGAAAAAGCTGCGAAGTAGCGGATGGTAGAACAAGTGCAGGTAACGTCTTTCAACGCAAATCAACATGCGGTGGAGCTTGTTCTTGCATTCAGTAAACGGTTTATCCAGCCATTTCTTGAACCCCCTACAAGACTATAGTTAAGGAGACCATCAAACAGCCAACACTCTCAGCTTTTGGCCAACTCCTTCAATCTCGCTGCTTCTTGCAAGATCCTGGCCGCACCGTCTGACAAGGGAGCTTGCGCGCCTACGGACCCGGTTCCGGCAGCTTTCGTTGCTGAGGGTCTGCTGGAAGGCGCGGCAGGGTCGGCAGCAGAAGACCCGTCCACCCTGCTGGTCGTGGACGGCATGGCAAACGCCGAGTCATCGTCTTCCAGCATCCGCTCCAGATTCTCGAGTTGCTCATAGGGAGCCACCTGCAAACGAAAGGGCAATCGTTTCAGATTGTCAGCGGTCGCTCGAAAAGCAGTTCTCAGTCCAGGAAGCTTTCCCAAAAGCTGCTGATTGTTCGAACGCGACGCATGAGCTTTTGCAGCGATGACAGAGGCTTTGCACAGCAGAATCTTTGCTGCACAAGCTGTGCTTGATCAGGAAGAAGTCACTCTGCTCGAACATCAATTGCGGCAATGAAACTCTTTTTAGCCACCTTCATGCAGCTCGAACATCGATCGGGATATAGCCTTGTCCGCGAGAATTGTGGAGGCATCCGAACGTGCTGACCTGAGTGAGGCCGTCCGGCCACGAGATAGCGACCGCGTAATTGCCCATCGGTCGGATGCTCTCAGGAACGATGTCCTCCGCCACGTCACTGTATTGCAGCAGCTGCTGCCCCGTCCACTCGTCCTGCAAAGTGCGAAACCGTCCGTCGTCAGAACGTACGAAAGGAATTTATCATCGTACTCAATCGATGTCGTCCCTACAAAATTTAGTAACTGTCAATCTGCTCATGCAAGTATTAAGTGTTGGCAGCGAAACGCAAGAGTTTCCAGATGTGCTGATTGAAAGCGAGCGAGAAAGCGTGTGCCTGCAGAATGAACGACTCACCACGCTCTTCGCGGACCTATCGTTTCGTCTCACAAGCGCCGGGCTGAGCAGGAACTCCTCGTCACTGCCGGGTGGCCGCACCACGATGGCCTTCCGTGCCGGATCGTACACAACAGCAGTAGCCACTGCAGAGAATTCGACCGGCGTCAGATGAAATGCAACGAGAAACGGAGCTTTGAGAATGAAACGCACAGGTGTGACGATTCGAAGCGCGTGAGAGTGTGTTGTTCTCTTCTGCAGTGCATTACCTGTCCGATTCTTAAGCTGCACATTTGAAACGGCAAGCTGCTGAAGTCGCATTTCGAGCCTCGGGGAGCGTGTGTAAAGCACGAGGTCACAAACGATCTTCGACTGAACAGCACCGCAGTTGATAACAACGCGCTTTCAACCCATCAAAAACAAGTGCGCAGCTTTGTCGCTGCCCCAGATTTTTGCCACAGCTTCTTTTTTGGCTCTCAGTACGGCCGGAGAGAGGCTTATGCGGGCTCACCCTGTTGCCGGAGCCTGGCCGTCTGCTGCACGACGGACGCCCCCAGCTCGGAGAAAGCTCGCGCTACCTCGCCGGCTGGCTCCACGATCACCTGGGGCTTCCCAGTGTCGCCAGAGGCCGACAACTGCGAGCGAAGGTAGGCAGGTAAGCAGGGATACAGAGAACGGACGGGTGCGAAACTTGTAACAAAACATATCTCCCTACACTCACGGGTAGCGAAAGAAGCCTTCTGCCGCCTCGGAAGCCTGATATCTTCAGAAAAACGAATAACACTGGAAGAGACAAAGACGTCGCTGACAAATTAAGAAGAGACGTTCTGGCGGATCATCGAATCGGGGCGTCGGAGTAGTCGGGATGTCAGCGGCGACTACTCGAGCCCTGGCGGTCGGAATGAAAGACAAAAGCACCATGTACCCTGAATCACAAATTTGTCAATGTCAGGCAAGGTATCCTAAGTTGGTTCCATACAGCGGCAGCTTTACCAGGTAATTCGCGGACGAAGTAGATTCTGTTCCATCCGCCCCAAGGGGTCAGGACCCAGAGCAGCTTCTTACCTCGGGTTTGATAGGCATCTGGAACAAGGAGGCAATGCCAAACTGGTCGACGACCTGCATGAATACGAACCAGGCTTTGGTCTTTGGGACTGCCAACACTTGCAAAGTCGAAGAAAGCCGACAACCAGAAAAGCAAGATCCGGAGCATACGTTTGTTCAGGAGATTTGCCCTATTTTGACTCAATAGTGAATGTTTGCTAAGACTGCTGCTTGCCTACAAAGCCTCAGCAAAGATGGAGGGAGAGCTTGACTGACTTGCCTTTTGACCAGATCCCTGTCCGAAAGGGAAGTACCGCTTCCCGTCCGCCTCGAAGTAGCACATGTTCTCAACAACAGCAATGCACGGCACCTGCAGGGTTCCAATGTTGCGTTCAGCTTCTTGACTGCACAGCTGGACAATCCGGCAACAAAATTAAGACCCAACATTTCTCAGGCGACACGCAAGTGCCTCATGCTGGACGAAGTTCCAGTCTGACCAACGTGCGAGAACGTAACACGATGGGCGTGCGCCAATCTTGCAAAGATACTCAGAGGAGTCAGAAACGCCGACTCAATTGTGAGGCGTACCTTCAACTTGGCAAACATGCGAACACCCTTGACGACGTCGATGAAGGACAGCTTCTGGGGGGTGGTCACGATGACAGCCGCCGTGATGGGCACGGCCTGGCACAGCGTCAGCTGGATGTCTCCCGTTCCAGGCGGGAAATCAAGCACCAAGTAATCCAGCTCCCCCCTAAACAAGAAGAGCCAGGTTTATCAGCTACTAAGTGACGGATGTCACAGGTGACGGCTTTCGGTGGAAGAAGCTCAGAAGTAATTCGGAGACGTAAGCAGACTTAACTCGGTTCGGTTTCTTGAGCTGTCGAGTACCTTTAACAGGACAATCGGACCTCAAAGGTCGGAGATGCATCACAAATTGAGCGGACTTGACATGCCCAACGATACAGCAGCGCTGCCTGTGAGAAATGAGGCAGCAAGCAACAGGTAAAAAGGTTACATCTAGGCCACCTTTCTACCCGTGCATCGAGTTCTTCGTGATAGTGCAAGCAACTCAGCAACGATCTGTCACAGTGTCAGCTTCTTCTGAAGTAGGGGTCCCTCACCAGTCGGTGGTGGTGAGCAGCTGGTTGACGACGCCCGAGACCATGGGGCCCCGCATAATGGCGCTGCCCTGCCCCGCATACCCAAACGACACCAGCTTCACGCCCTCGTATTCGGTCGGCATAATGATGCGATCGTCGCCCTCCACACGCTGCAGACACGAGATGCTACAATCACAGCTTTGATTGGATGTTTGGTCCGGGTGAAAGAGGAGTCCTGCCCAAGTCTTTGCCTTTCAAAATGTGCTCCAAGGAGATGCTTTTGTCATAGAGTGTCAGCGAAGTTATACATTTTCAGTCAAAGATTCACCTGGCCTTCAAAATCACGATCACGTGCTAACAGGCTAGGCCCCCTACCAAGACACGCCGACAAAACCAAAGCTCGGCTGTCGATACATAGCGTTGAGAGCTGTTGGGAGGGTGCAATCTGCGTGCGTCTCGCAGACAGAGCTCACCATCTGCAACACGGGCACCTCTGGAGAGACCATGGTCGGGAGGCTGGGCCCGTACACGTCCGCATCAAAGATGCCCACCCGCGCGCCCATGCCGTGCAACGCGTATGCAAGGTTGACTGACACCGTGGACTTGCCAACTCCGCCCTGTGAAAAACAGGAGTTCTTCAGACAAGAGGGACTAAAGACGAGGCACCATCAGGCAATCATCAGGCCTCTTTAGTATTCATGTCGAGTTCCTGGAGTGGACAGAAAGACGTGTTCAAGAGCTGCTTCACTGCTACGATTGTTCTGAACACCGATGAGAGCAATAGGCGGGACAATTCTGGCCAGCTCGACTTGCAAACATCAGAACTCGATTTCAAAGGTAAGGGGCTTCTACTGCGCTCGAGTTCGTTTCCTTTGAACAAGGAGTCACGGCCATACCTTGCAACTGGACACTGCAATGATGTTGGCGACCTTCCTCAGGCCCGGAGGTACGTCTTCGTCTGTCATGGGTCTTGGCGCCTGGGCCGTCATCTTAATGCTGAGGTCCTTCACCCACGGCAGCTGGCTCACAAGCTCGCGCGCTTGTGACTCAAACTGCAATAGCGGGCCTGTCGTTAATGCATTGAGATGGGGACTTGCGACCATGGACGTCGGAGTCACAAAGAGTTTGCAGAGGGTCCCGTCTTGCTCCTCAAACCAGAAGTTTCCTTGAAGCCTAGTGGCTAGGTAGAGACTGATTGAAATCTTTGATGAGGAATTGACTGGCGATTCTCAAGTAAAACTTAGTCGGGCTTCGTCGTCAAGAGCAAGGCTTTGATATGGCTTCCTTCAACAAATACATCTCGCTTTACCTGTCTGCTTGTCTATCTGGCAGCACATGGGTCACCAGCCAGGCTGATGAATTCACAAGAAAATAGCGATCCCCTTAAAAGTTATCGGACTGTCTCACCATGTCTTTGACCGGGCAAGCCGGCGTTGTCAATTGCAAGGTGAAAGACACCACCCCCGTGTTCGGGTCAATCTGCATCTCCTTCACAAACCCGCAGGAGACAATATCTGTCCCGAAATCGGGATCGATGATCTGAGAAAGCTTTCCCAGGACCTCTTGCTCTGGAGAAGCGCCCATCGCCGCTCCTGCAGGGACGCAACATGACTTGAGGAGGTTGAGATGCCAAGGTCTGTTGCAAACATCGGATGAAGTCGTAGTAGTCCAAGCGAGTGTCCGGTAGTGCAGCGCTTTCACTATCTACTTACCCAGGTTGCACACTCCAAACTTGGCAGATGATCCTTATGTGGCGGGAATGTCTGTCTGCCAGGAAACCCCCGTCAAAGTCTGCGGTACTTCCAACAGCCCCTGGCTTGGCAAACATGTGCTCTGCAAAATGTAAAGTATCTGGGATATTTGAACCAAATGAGCAGACAGAAAACCGCTGCCTTAGGATTGTCAATGGCGTTTGGGGCGTTGCTTCCTCACCATTTGATTGTGCCTGCGCTTGACACCGGGCACCACCCCGATCATCACCCCGCAGCCCAGGTCTAGAGTTGGTGTGGAAACCCTGGGCCGGTGGCTCCAGAATCTGACGCCAACCTTTTGCTGCAACATTCTGACTGCTAAGAGGCGCTGGAGAAGGGCTGGTTTGCAAATATGCTGCACAGCAGAGAAGCACCTTTCAGAGGGCCACTGTGCCAAAAATGCTGCAACGTTGGAAGTGCAGAAGGACAAAGAAAGAACTCTGAGCTGTCAGAAGGTACAGACCCACTTCCGTACTTCTGCCGATTCAGGGGCCACCACTATTCAAAACCGTTCTTCCGTGTTCTTTCGGGGCAAAACTGATACTAATAGTACTCATAGCAAGTATATGTTTCCGGCGGGCCTCCGAGCATTGTGCACATTCTCATGAAGAAGGGGCCAAAGTCTATTACTGCTTAACGTCATACCGTTAGGACTGAGCAATGTTGCAGGCTTCACCGTTTTGCCCGGACCGTGCAACCAGCCTAAATAACCTATAAGGCAAGAGGGTCTCTCGAAGGGGAGTGGATGTGGGACCTTGTCTTGACACAAAGGCTCAGACGTTTTGACAAGCGTGTTCTTACCTGTGCGCAGACAGGGAGCTGCTGGCTGCCGCAACTTGCCTCGTCTGCCCTGCTGCAGAGCAAAGCCCTGACAGCTCAATGCTGGCTTCAGGAGTGCCTTGCAAGCCGCCATTATTGAAAAGAGACGCTGTTGTAGGGGTAATCTGTTTCTTCTGTATAGGCAACAGAATATCCCTAAGGCTATCCCTAGTAGGGCCCAGGGTTTCTGCCTGATTTAGGGTTTCAAAGATCTCTAGAATAGAATCGACGAGCCAGGGTTTTTGTGAACCCCAAAAATCGGACTCGATCATGGGGTTTGCCAAGCGCGGCCGCGCCCTCCCGGCCGCGACAGTGAACTTAAGCGCGGATCGCCCAAACTCACGTCCACAGGCGATTCCTATGTAGCAGCCCTGGTATAAGCTCATTGAGGAGGTCTGCAGACTGATCAAGCACTTTCAGGGCTGGCCTCACGGGCCACCATAAAAGGTTAGAATTATTATGCACCAGGCGGCAGCGGAGTCGTCTCAGTTGTGCAACAAAGGGCACAGCACATGCAAATGCCAATAGTCAGATCCTTTTAGACGAACATTACCAGAGATATTTGACAAGACGCGAAGACGCTAGTCTTCATGACAACCGCAAGAGGGGCCGCAGCCGGTTCCTCGAACTTGGACTTGGGGCGTTCAAAGGCTACTGGAGCATTTAGCAATATCTATGTGAGTACGTGGCGGCAATGGTTAAGGTAAAGCGCCTGCGTGAAGAATCCAAACTTACTTGGGGTTTTATTTTGTGGAGCCCAATGTCTTCTGGTCTTCTAAAGGACTGGATCGTATCTGGATCGTTTGTGGGGCCTCATCTGCTGCGAAGATGATGTACGAATTAAGCACTTGATTATCATGCATCTACATCTCATGTACGAACAGAAACACCCGCCGATGTACACACACATCAGAATTCGAAATCCCGAGTTGAAGAGACCCATAAGCGATCAATCCGAGCGTTGTGTATACACATTCTTTTGGGCGAAGAATGTCAAGGGCTGCCGCAACAGTGATGACATTGAAGTAAGCCAGTGGTCGTACTTATCATACGGGAAGGATCAATATTCTATGTCTATACTCGAATCTTTTTGAGGCTAGTCTCTGGGTGCCGAAAGTGACCGCGGACTTATGTAGTCCCAGATCAGGATGGCCCCTTCCTCTCCAACGGACACGACCTTCCGCAGATCCGGGCTGATCTTCACCTGTAGTTGGCAATAGATCCTTAGTCAGAGATCAGCTCAAAAGCTCATCCCACACGAGCGCTGTGGTCCTTCAAAGAAAGCGCGTCAAGCAATCTGAGCAGTCAGTACTCAGAATCTGAGACTTCGCCCCGAAATCATGCACGAGAGTCTTTGCTTTCATACGAAGGATTTCACACGAGTCACTTCGTTGGTTCATATCTGCTGTCCGAGGCAGAGTCGAAGACACGCACAAAATTAGCAGCAACTTAAAATGAAGAACTTGACCCCGGTACACAGAATCCGGTGACTTTTAGCGCCTGGCCCCCACCTTGAGCACCGCCCCGGAGTGGCCCCTCCCGACCGCGAAGCAGTGGCCCTCGTCGTAGCCCCACAGCTTGACCTCCTTGTCCGCGCCGCCGCTCGCAACGGCCTCCCCGTCCGCACTGATTGCGAGCGCGTTGATCTCTGCGCTCTTGCTGCCCTCTATGTTGCGGATCACCTGCCCGTCGTAGGCGTCCCAGTACGTGATCTGCGGAGAAAGAAAGTCGATGACCGTTTGCATCTTGCACTACGCTTTGCAATGAACAGCTGACGAGCCGCAAGTTATTTAGAGCCACTTCACTTTTGAGAGCACTAGTAAGTCAGACGCGTGCGAACGCACTGTGTAGAAAAGACGAGGAAGAGGAGAGCTGGCTGGATTAAGGACGATGATCGGTCCTCGAGCCCGTGATTGTCGCGAGTGCTATTTTAGGTTGCAGCTCTATTTAAGGATGCTCATTGGGCACGAGGTTCCTACTCGGGCTTGATGATCAAGAAGCCGCACCCAGAACCAACTAAAGTTCGTGAATCCTGGAACATGTATCACTTGTAAGCATATGGTGAGCGGGTGGACAGGCCTCCTACAAGGCTTTGCCCTCATCGCAAATCTCTAAGCAGGTGTGCATAGCCCGAAGAGATTGCCTCTTCGCGCGGCGGCTCACCTTCCTGTCGGTGCCGGTGGTGAGCAGCTGGCTCTCGTCGGGGTGGTACAGGATCGCCTTGAAGAACGTGGACGCGAACAGGCTGTTGTTGCGGACAAAGCGCTGCAGATTGACCCCGTCTTCGTCAGTTGAACCGTTCGCCCAATTGAAGATTTTGGTGCTGACAAGATCTCGGACCGTGCTCTTGTTCACCTTACCAGCCAAACCCTACCAGAATATGTTTCGAACCGGGGCGCTTTGTGTTGGCTCATGATGAAAAGCTGCTGCGTCCAGAACCATCTCTTTCGGCCTCCTTGCGAAAATCCACTGAATTAATGACAACCCAGTGACGAACATTCAAAGGTAGTCGGATGAGCGTGCCGAGCAACTAGAGCGGGGGGCTCACCGCGAGGTCCCAGATGATGCAGGAGCCGTCGGAGGAGGCGGATACGGCCTCGGAGTCGTTCCGCCGCACCTGGATGGCGTTCACGGGGCCCTTATGCTCCTTCATGCTGCTGATCAGCGTCTGGCTCTCCTGCCCGATGCGCCACACCCGCACCTGGCATCCGGGAGTGAGCCGTGATTAGAGTGCTTTCTTCTTTCTGTAGAGCAGAACCTTTGGCACTGATGCAGCTTTCTCTAGCCATCGAGTTTGATTACCGCTTCTACTCAGTGTCTGGTAACACCCTTCGTATTCATTGTCGCCTTTCGTCGACTGATGTCTTTGGTTGGGCAGCGTCGAATCAATCAGAGTCTCTGAGTGGCTTGACGTCTGCCGTTTCTGCAATTCTCGACGAGCCCAGCAAGGTGGACAAGCCCGATGCCCAATCTCTCAACGACCACGCCTCGCCCGCTCGCGCGGCCGGCCGCGGCTCCAAACCCTCCAAACCCTCCAAACCCTCCAAACCCTCTCACCTGGCCCTCCTTGCCGCCGCTGACGATCTTGGTGGAGTCGGAGGTGCCCACAATGGCGGTGACGCCTGCCACGTGGGCATCCGTAATGGTGTAGAGCAGCTTGCCGCTCTGCGGGCCGAAGGCGCGGATCTTGCCATCGCTCCATCCGCTGATCACGCTTTTGCCGTCCTCCATAAACGCGATGCACAGGCACTCCACGTCAGGCATCTGCGGGTGGGAAAGGGAAGAGTCAGGCGCCAATCATGCAAGGAAAACGATCAAGTCCAAGGTGGAAACGCTTCTGTTGCGTAGAATGAGAGAAGAAGGCGCGATCAAGGCGTAAATGGATGCCAAATTGCTCCTCGAGAAGATGTTCGACCTTTCGCAATAAGAACACGAGGCTGCACGAAGGTCTTGGTGGCGTTTCGGCGGGTATGACTGTGGCAAAAGGTGCCCAAAACGGTTTACAACTTCCAGCAGCACAGTCTTTTCCAGAGTCGCCTCAGATCTCAAGCGCCAACTGGGCCTCCTACCTTCATGGTATGCATCTCAGATATATCCGTTGATCTCAAAAAGCTGGCAAGTTGCTGACCTTTGCAGAGACCTGGATCCTGAGCAGTTCTCGGCACTCCGCGGCGTGCCAGATGCGGATCTCGTTGAGGCTGCACGTGGCGAAGACGTCGCCGTAGTTTGCGGGGAAGCAGACGTCCGTGATCTTCTCGTGGTGGCACGACTGCACCTGCGTCGACGTCAGCTTATTGTCGCGAGCGTCGAACCTGCGGCACAGAAGAGCGCGATCTGAACGTCTTGAAAAGCGGGAACTGCACGACCTTTTGAGAGAAGAGGGTGAGCGGTTTCCCACAACGAAGTTCGAGATGGAGTACGGTAGTAAAACTTCGTTTTGTGCCAGCTTGCCCCTTTGTCGCATTGTTGAATCTAGTACAATGGACTGGGACAGAACGCCAAGGCTTCGCTTGCACGCAATATTCACAAAGTCAAAGTTAAAGTTTTAAAATCGTCACACTACTGGTTACAAGGATCCCGAAGTTTTCTGCAAGAACCGTGCTGACCGAAAAAACGAAGATCAATACCTTTTTGCAACCTGGAAGAGGATGAAGGTTGACGATACAATTAGGAACGTGTAAGCTCTGAGTAACCGCAGGCAAACAGCGTCTGGTCAAAATCGGTTGGTTTGGTATAAAGAAGGAAGGCCTCGTACCTGACTAAGTAGACGTTGCACCTCGCAGTACCGGCGTACAAGAGGAACGAGCCGTCTCGGGCGGGGCCTTCCGAGAGGACCACTGACGTGACAGCACCGCCGTTGAGTTGGAGGCTGCAACGAGCGTCGAAGAGTGGCTGAGAATCTGAGTACCTGGTGGTTAGGGGCACAATCTGGCCGTTCCCCAAACGGACAAGTTTTCATCCACTTACATCTCCAGAGCGCTTTTGGACAGCCGGTCGACCGACGAGTAGCGGTTTACAAGAATCTCGTTGGCCGTGAGAGAAACACCCGGTCCAAAAATACAATTCGACGGAGGCCATTGAGCCAGGTTGCATACGGGCTTATGGAACCCGCCCCACGCGTAGACCGCTACAGCAATCATCAACGAAAATCGAAGGAACCTCTATGTAAGAGCAGTTTTACCTGCAGGCTGCTTTAAGCGTGGCGGCCCTGAGCAGTGTAATGCTGCCGTCTCCGCCCCCCGCCACCAGCGTGTCTCCTCCCGGCAGCTGGATCAGACAGCTGACCCCCTGGCCGATGAACGGCTTGGGCCCAGACTGCTTGAACAGCTTCGGGCCCAGGCTCACCTGAGGGGACGACAGAAAGAACGGACTGTAGTCTGGAAATCATAGTCTTTTCTGCTTACTTTGAACGTGCGACGACCGCTTCTAATGCACTCTATCTATCTCCAGGCCAAGACACTTTTACGTCCAGGCTTGGGGAATTTGGATGTAGGCTCGGAGAACGAGGGCCACGACGTGCTTCCGTGATGGTTTTACCCGCATCTCTCTTTTCGTTGCCTTGAGTCCCTTAACCCTGGCCATCAGCTCGAAGGCTGACATGAATCTGAATTTCTTTCACTATGTCAAGCATCTGGTCCCAACTCAACAGGTTCCTCACTCCAATCAACTGCAAGCTTGCACTTCCTATAAGAGAGTTGGCGTTTGACTTAACGATGATACTGCCGTTGCGGATCTGCATCTCTCTTAAGATAAATTTGCCACATAGCCAAGCACCAAGCGGGACTTCTCGACTGTGGTCCCTACCTGCAGCACGTCCCCCGTCTTGGTGCCTACATAGACGAACTCGTCCCGCTCGTCGACCACCATGCTCTGGCACACGCGCTTCTGCAGCCCCAGGTGGCACTCGGCGGGGCGCACTTTCCGGTTGGCCTCGTCAAACTCCCACACGTTCAGGTTGTAGTTGCCGCCCGTAACTAGGCGCGTGCTGTCGTTGTGGAAGAACTGGACCGTAAGCACGAAATCGTTTGCGGTCGGGCTGCCGCAGATGGCCTGCCCCAGCTCCACGTTCCACACCACCAGGTTGCCGTCGTCTTCGCCACCGAGGGACGCAAGGTAGCGGTCGTCATGGCTGAAGCACAGCGCCTGCACCTTCACCTGAGGGAGGGAGAGGAGGAAAGGGAGGGCGCGGAGCAGCGCGTCTGAACCACAACTGGTTGTAGTGACAATACATTTCTTAAATTGCTTGGAGAGTTTTGCCATCACATTCTGCTCTAATGTAGTTCGAGGCTGGGTAAAGAGTTTCCAGGAAGGCTGTACCTTTGTAGTTGGCTAGGCCAGTATCAGCGAATCCGGCCTGCCCCCCCAGTGTGTCCTCACTATAGCTGGCCCATGCATCTCTGTGCTGATGATTGTTGTACTGATATGTCAAGTCGTTCCAGCTTATGAGACACAGCCAATCGCTCATTGGGGCACCAGGCAAAGTGCAGACCAATGTCAAGTAAGACAAGCTACCGAGATCACAGTGGGCAAGCGGATTTTCCACCGATGCATCAGGGTATGTCCCAGGTCTGTCAAAGCTCTCCAGTGCCAGTGCTTGAGCTCGAGTTCAAAAGGCAGGACTGTCACTGTCTGCCCTTCTTTCTGAAGCACTCTCGCACAAAAGTGTCCAGGTCATTTGCATCTTTGCCAGATCCTGCAAAGTAGCTCAGTGTCAACTTGACACACCAGCCCCACAAGAGCTGGGTGCCCCCTGCTGAAAAGCGAAGTCCTTGTCAAGCAAGGCATATGAGGCCCCCCCACCTTGTGCAGCGCCATTCGGTGGACCATCTGGCGCGTCTCAAAGTCCCAGATGATGATGTCAGCATTGAAGCCCATGTGCGTGACCTGCCCGCTGGCCAGGTACCGCCCGCTCTTTGACACCGCGATGCACGCCACCTTGTCGGTGTGGCCCTGAAGGAACTCTTGGCGTCGGGCATCCCCCTTGGGCCGGATGATGACCGTTGAGCCTAGGGGATAGATGAGTGTCGACCCATCGGGGTGCAAAAGCAGCCCGTTTGGGACCCCCCCGCCGATGCCTATCACAGAGTCGAGGCGCAGGTCCTCAGCCATGACTGGGAGCGCACCCGCCCCTTCAAGATGAACAAACGATCAGATGCAGGAATGTGAGGTTGAGCTCGTATAGAGCTCCACTAAAGGCTCAGAAGGAGTCTAAAGGGCAAGGAAAGCAGACACAGAGCGGGGGCCGCAGCTGAATTGTGGGGTAGGAAGGGCTACAGAAGGTCATCAGCTCATTTGGGACTCTTGATTTGGACTGTTGCCATCAAGCTTTCAGGGGTCAGTAGGCATAAATTACATTATGCGAACAGCCTGAGGGCGCTTGGAGTTACAGTAGACGAGCGACCCACTACCGGCACAGCCTTTTTCTTTAGCAGATTCCTGCCGCGCTGACGCCGACGGGTACGGTATAGAGAAAACTGTTCGTCTACTGTAACAGAGCAGGCTACTGCGGCAGTACTGCCTGCCACATTATTGCTTCAGACTTCAGTACACTGGATACAGGCTTATCGACGGTTCTCCAGTCCAGGCGTGGATATTGGACGGACTAGAAGGACCGGTAAAACACACGCGCGCGCTTCCTGCTTGTTGGTGTACAGAAAAGCGGTAGGCCCAAACGCTACTACTCAGCTCTGCAGCTTCAAGAATGCATCGATGCCAGGAGATGAGATTTAATGCTTTCTATGTCGCTGTCAAAATTGGACTAGAGACAGATGGGACCGGAAGGGCCTCCAAGACGTACGGTATGCGGCGTTCTTGTTAGGCAATGCACGGCCAACTTTTTCAGGGGCCCCCTCCTGGTACCGCATGATCTTCAAGACGTCTCATAGGGACGCAGCACGTGTACTGGCTCGGGGCTTTGCAAAGCTGGGACGTGCTGGCACTAAAGGCTAGAATGGCGGGGGTGGAAAGTCAAGCATTTGAGGCCAGGTCGATGGAAAGCCAGGAAGAAATGGCTCAAGATTCTTGGACCAGCCCCATTAAGCCGAGAATACAGCCCCTAACGTTCTCCTTCTCCGAAGCTGAGTTGGCATCAGATGATGAAAGCTCAGGCTACGATGGCGCGGAGAATGGAGCAGCTGTCCAACAGTTTGGTGTACTTGAAGACGATGACCATTCCGACTCGGAAGAAGAGGAAACTGACATTACTCAAAGGATCAGGAAGCTGCAAAAGCAGCTGGAGGAGGGAAGCTCGGAGTCAGAATCAGAGTCGACTTCTGAAGGGGTCATGGAGGAAGGGGCAGCGCGTGTTTGGGGGATAGACGCCCCAGCAACGCCCGCTCTTTCTAATGAACTGGGATGGGCGAAGTCTGAGGGGATAGCTGTCAATTTGGTGAGAAGCGATAGTGACAATGAGGCAAGTGGGAGTGAGGGAGCGGCAAATGATGACGAGGACCTGAGAAATGTGTGGCAGGGCCTTGGAGGGGATCTGGTGCAGAGGGAGCAGAGGAGAAAGGAGCTCATGCAGGTAGGCAGGAATAGGCCTTGGACTTGCGGCTGAAATGCAGCCCCAAATAAGGCATAGCCTTGCTGGACCGCAAGTACAACCCCTTCCGCAGATATTCTCCAAAGTGCCAAACCTTCGAGCAAGTCTTGGACCAGCACCACATCACAGACCGCTTGCTGGAACATATCGTGTTCTGCCATTGATCGTAATGGCTTTGAGATAGCAAAGTGTGTGGGAGACTCTTTTGCAAGTGATCGCATGGCCATTGAAAGGAGAAGATAGCACCAGGCTTAGCAGCATGATCATCGCAAAGCCTTCTTTTGCCGGCTTCAAGTGATCAGAGGTGCAAAATAATTGAGTTTGAATGCAATTGTAAAGCCCCGGCGGACTATCTTCTTTAAGCTCTTTGGTCTCTTTTGTGCAGTTCTTAGACACGGTGTTGCACAGTGATGGGCCCGACAACGAGAAAGTGGTTGACGTCCCATCCAATTTCCAGGCCCTAGTGGACGGCCTAGCAAAGCAACGCAAGTCAGAAACCCCGCTTGCTTGGACGGCCGCTCGCATGGTAGGCACCCCAGAGGGGCTCCAGTGGGTACGCCCTGACTCATCCGACTCAGGCCTTGTTTCTGTAAGCGGCGACGCTTCTGAGACCCTCTCTGACAGCGCCAGCGTTGGCACAAGGCCTCTGTCGGTGAACCAGGACCCGAAGCTCCAGAAGGGCTTTGAGAGGATCGAGCAACTAGATCGGGTGCTCGAGGAGAAGCAGGCGCTGGCAGAAGAGACGGCGCGCCAGGTCTATCCGGAACGATATGCAGCCCAGGAGCAGAAAGTCCGGTCACTGGTAGCTGTCAAGCTGGCAAAACGGAGGCGGCGGCGCCAGGCAAAGCTGCGGCGGGCAATGATGGCGACTGGGGTGGGGTCGAAGAGGGTGTCTGCGGGAGACTATGTGGCGCGGAATATGGTGCTTGGGCCGAATGCCCGGTACTTCACACTTCTTCCGGAGGAGGAAAAGCTGGTGGATGAGCTGCTGGCACAAAGCGAGGGGGAGATGGGCGACGAAGATGCGAGCTATACGACGTACACAAGCACGGGCTTTGACGTGGAAGGTGAGAAGATGCGCTATGCTTGTGAGGAAAAGCTCATTTGAAGTTTGTAGAAGAGCTTCGTAATGGCTGCAACCAACCGCAAGAAGGCCTGGCTGTCAAGCTTGTGACTAGTCTCTAGAGTCATGGTGTCGTGAAGTATTGGATTGCTCTCGGATCCGACTGCAGTGTCAGCAAAAAGGTTCAGAAGCCTCAGGAAAGTGACGTACTTCGGATATACTATACGTGCCGTCTTCGCATCAGGGATTTTGAGAGGTGTACAGCGAGTGCTCTAGCAAACGCTTATAAAACAATCCATCTCCTGTATCCAGGAGACGAAGCGATGCAACTCGCTACAGTCAACGCCAAGCTCAGCGCTCTCCGCGGGCAGGCCGGGTACTTTGACAGCGACAGCTTCTCAATGGACAACGGCTCGTCTTTTCTGGATTACTCTGGCTTTGGCTCAATGTCCCGGGCTTTACCTCAGGAGTTGGGCCCCGGGTCTCGCAACGATTCCGCGTCGGTTCGCACTGTTGAAAGCTCTAAAAAGACCTCAAACTCGACGCCAAGAAATGGAGAGGGGGAGCGCCCGACAACGCAGCGGTCCGGAGTGGGCAGCGAAACGAGCAAAGCGTCCCGGCAGGGCGGCAAGCAGCTGAGCTCGCAGAAACGGCGGGCGAGCTCGAGCAGCGCCAAGTCGGTCGCAGCCCCGCCCAAGTTCCGAAAATCGAATGAGTCGGACGGACATTCTGAGCCCGCGTCTTTCGATGCGAAAGGAGAGCAGCTGCGGGGGAGCACATCTGCGGGCTCAGAGGCGAGCAGGGGGGCCGCAGGGGCATACACGCAACGGGAAGAGGGCGCCAAGAAAGCGACCCCGGCGGATGACTACCTGAGGGAGCAACGAGAGAGGCGGGAGGCTGCAGCGAAGCAGGAGGAGATCGACCGAAAGATCCGGGTGTTGCGCACGGCGGAGATTCCGGCCACGTTGGGCGCGGAAGAGCTGGCGGAACTGTTGGAGCAGTGCCGGCAGGAGCAGGCGGCGCTCGAGCACCGGGACGAGACCATGCGACGGATCGCGACGCCAGCGCTATCGGACGCGCCGCCGTCCGGTGCATCGGACGCGTCCGGACGTTCGAGCGGCAGGGGCAGCAACCCGGGTTCAGCAAAACCGAGTAGGAAGACTCCGGAAAAGCTGGCTGATGGGGAGAAGCGGATTAGCCAGGAAACAAGAAGTGCAGGAAGAATGGGGTCGGATGGGGCGGCTGCCGCAGCCCAGGCAGGGGTCGCAGCAGAGAGCGCTAGGGCAGTTTCCATAGGAGATGGCCTGACCGAGGCCAGATTAGCTGATACAAATAAGCCCGTGAGTTCCATCGTTGGGCTGCCGCCCGCTAAGGGGGCGGCGGTTGTGCACGATACGAAGAGGGTCGAGAGGAGACCAAAGTCAGCAGACGCACTTCTTACTTTGCCAGCTCTCTGAAGAATAGCCGCGTGCACAGTCGATTTTGCAACAGCACTTTGAGAACAAGGAAGGAGATTGAATAGTATTCACGGATGTCGCAAGCGCAGACATATCTGGTCTTAAAGCGCAGGCGAGGCTGCTCAGTGGTCGGCAAGCATTCACACTCGTACTGTTATCCATGAATACATCTGCATGGAGAAGCCAACCTTGCTGCTACGAAGGACGATGTCGCGAGTGCACATGCATGCTCGGAGAACTGTATGCATATATATTAGCACCTTCGCGCCACATGCACATGCTGAGACATGTCTCTGTGATGGGGTCCTTCTGCGTTCTGTATACTTCAAAGGGCCGGGTCCTGGCATCTGAACTCTGCGTCCGCAAGACGAAACAGTTCCTGCGCAAAAACCGAGTCCAAAACGGGGTCAGGACTCTCATGCTCGACATTGTCATGGCTAAACGACTGAAACGAGTGGTCTTTATTAGCTCATTGGTAGTTATATGTCAAGAGAAGCAAGATCGCGCGAGGTGTGGCAATTTATCATTGTGTGCCGCGCATAGGTAGATGACTATGCGGCCATTTGCTACGGCAGTCCAACTAACATACTTCATATCAACTACCCAGTACGGTGGGCTGCCTTTCCTTCAAGGAGCCAGGGTCGCTTTTGCTACTGGTTCTGGTTCTGCGACCAACTAAAAACACCGCGAACGTAATTTGAGCGAACCGCAAGAATGTTCTTAGGTGGAGTTCTGGATGCGCAAGCGACTCAAAAGTGGAGGTCAGAATTTCAGGATCACGCGGGAGGATGTTGATGGACAGCCCACCTGAACCTCGTTCTCGCTCGCTCTCTTCATGTCCTCCGCTTGCCGCACCCGACCCATTGCCATCCGCATCTGTAAGGGTGCGCGGTGCTGCTTGAGGGATCGATATCTGGTCATATGAGCTTCTCGCGATCTCCTATACCAGAAAGCTGTTGGGAGACAACTCAAACAGACTCCTCAAGAAGCAGCGATGCAGTTGGCGATATGAGCAGACTTTCTAAACCTCCCAACCATTTGATGATGACGGTCATACGGGAATGAAGAAGAAAGAAAAGATATCAGATTCATATGTTAACGGCCTACAGTGAAATTGATAATTTAGCAGAGTACGTTCACTTTGGACGAGGTTTTACCTTCATCAGGAGTAGCTGCCGCCCGTCGTGTCTGGACCGAGTGTCGTCAAGTTCCGACTCCAATATCTGAACAAGGCAAAAGAGGATAGTGAGGGCTCTTAGAGGTTGCCTTCAACGCTTCCTACCAACATGCTCTGGTGTTGACGCAGCACACTCCTGGAGACTAGCATTGTGAGCGTTCGAGTCTTGCAGAGCGATCTAGCTCTTGCAGAGTGATATAGCCTTTGCCTTTCGGCTTCGTAGGAAGCAAAATGACTAGAGGTTTGATAAGTGCACCCACCGCATTTCTCCGTAGTATGTCGCCCTTCTCCAGCTCCGACATGCGCAGTCGCTCTTGTAGCTTCATGATCTGCAGCGAGATCACACAGTGAGCGCTGACAGCAAAGAACACTTCTTTGGCTCTTGAAGTAGGTCGGCGAGAGAAAGCAGATTGTAGACAAGAGCAACACGTAAAGCTGAATAGGATCAGAGCGCAAGAAACGTGGGCTGCGTCAAGGTTGGTACCTTGTCCTCGAGCTCGATCTGTTTGTCGAGTGCGATGTCCAAGGCCGCTCTCAATTCGTCCTTGGTCTCTTCATCTGTTTCTTCCTGCGCAGGAAACGGATGCTTTCAGGTCTTCTGCTTTATAATCCAACGAGTTTCCAGCCGGTTTCAACGTCTCGTATAACCGGACTGGAGGCCGCTATCAACGACAAGTGAATGCGACCCAAAAGCTTCATAACAAAGAGGGGAACAATCAACCAGACGCTTTGGTTTGGAACTTACAATGCTCTCAAATTGGCGCTTCTTTGGAGGGGACCGAACCTCTTCGGGACTCGCAGAGTGCCTGCAGCAACGCACGCAGGAAGGACAGCGGTTTTAGCCAACCCAAAGCGTAACTACGAACAGGCGTCGATAATGTCTTCAGATCAAAACCCTCTCTACACCAGTTGGAGACCGGATTCTTTGTACCCTCCTGAGAAAGTGGATACCCCCGCACACGTGAAGATTTTCGATGTCTTGAACGGAGACTTCCAAACAGCGCCTGCAAAACGAAAATACGTACGCTTTCTTGCAGATATCACCCGACAGATTCACACAACCAGGTTACCTTTTCTCGTCGGAGCGGGGCGTAGCGGAGCGGCGCGTGGGGGGCGGGCTGCCGCTGCCGCTGCGGCTGCGGGTGTGTGCCGTGCTGGCGCTTCTGGCGCGGCGGCCGCGGCTTGGGCTGCAGCTGCGGCTGCCACTGCGCGCGCGCTCGTCGCGGCCGCCGCTGTCACTGGCCGCCCGCTCGGGACTTCTGGTGCGGCGGCGCACTGCAATTAAAACGTGCGGTAGCTTTAAAGACAGCTTTTCATGTGTTTGCCAACGAAGGCGGTGTTGCTGTTGAAGTCAGTTGCTGACATTTGTTCTCCTGTTGCCGAGGTCAAACGACCGATCGCGATTCTCGTTTGGATGCACCTCAAAAGGTTGGACTGTGTATGACATCCTTGGAACCTCGTCGAGAAGATGTTTTCAAGGACCTTGATTGTTCGAGTTATTTCCCTAACCTCGAAAGAGCACCATTGTAAATCTGACTGACTCTTGCAGATGCGTTTCTCTGGCCATCTAACCTGCCTGCAATTTGCCTCGCTTGCGCCGAATACACACTGATTCCATTTGCGCTGAGCTTACAGCAGGATGCAAGTACATACTTGGTGGAGGTGATTTGGAGCGGGCTTTGCGACCAGTGGACGGTGCGGGCGACGCCACGTCGGTTCTGGCCTTGTCTTCCGCCTTCTCTTGGCTGGACTGGAACCCTGGCGGCTGCTGGTCACCGACGAAGGGGGGCGACAGCGACTTCGCGTTCTGCAGCGCTCTCTCTCTACGGCTGAGGGGCGAGTCGGGGCGGAGACCCATCCCTGGAGGCGGCCCGCTGATCAGGCTGCGCCGTTCCCTGGCGATCAGTCGAGGAAAAGGGAGAGAATTATGTTGGTTCGAAGGACACGTCAGATACTTAGCGTCCTTGAGCGCCGCGAATGTGACTCTGTACGCTCTGATCGCACTTAAAAGACGTCAGCCTCCAGAAGCAGCACTCTCTTTCACAATCCGATTGAAACTGAGTGATATTGGATACGTCACTGAATCGCCTTACCTGATGTCAATGGGGTCTCTAGGCCTGTTCGCACCAAATCTTCCATCTTGTGTCGCCCAGTTGACCTGTACAACACCACCGGAGACGTCATAGTCTCAAAGAGCTCGACCAGTTTTTGCGAAACTGGGCACTTTCGTTGATTACCACGTTCTTTTCGAGGAGGTTGCGTGCAATGGAAAGCTTTGATAACACTGTGTGAGTGCCACAGTGATTTGACTACAAGGCCTGGCAAAATCTAGGGCTTCGGAGTGGGGGCTCACCTTCATCCTGTAGGCCCCCCGAAAAGGCTGCAAGAAAACGTTTTATGACTTTAGTAGTTTCTGAAACATTTTAACTCATGGACTCAAAGCAGAGCTAGAGTGCTTGGAAGAAAGGATGGTGGACTAATATGCAATTACGCTGAGGACAGCTGTACATCTTTGTAGGATCAACACAACTCTTCGGTGGCAAGAGAAGAGAGCAGCAGTTATGTGTCTTGCAGGTCTTGGCAAGAAAGTGTAAGATACATGCAGTTTGTGAGGCGCACCTTGTTGTCCATGTACTCGAGTGCTGCTCTGGCTGCCTTGCCTTCCTGAAAGGTGACAAAGCCAAAACCTCTGGACTTTGAGGTAACATGGTCTCGTATGATCTGCAGATTGAGAAAGGCAACGGTGAGTGATTGCGCACCCAGTGCAGAAAAAGCAGGACGCCATACCAACATGCCCTTGATTCGAATGATTGACCGTTCCAAAAAAGCATCCAGTGCAACTCTTGCATGATCACGAAGAAATTGCTGGCCGCATAGGGCGAAATACCTTGCTTGTCAACTCTTCTGCACTGCCACTCACTTTGACCTCAAGAATGGTTCCAAACTTGGAAAAGGCCTCTCGCAGGTCGTCCTCTTCCACTTCGTACGACAGGTTCTTGATATGAATCTTCCTACCCTCCGTGAAAGCCATGCCTGTGATCCGCGAGGCAATTCAGCAGAGCTGGAGCGCTTGACTTTCAGTAGCTTTCAACATCCTGCGTGCAATTCAACTCAGTCCAAGCCTTATGAGCGCAGCATGATTGTCCTGACATCATTCACTTGGTCTCCCTCATCTGGTGGTGCATGCAACGAGGCGTTTATATCTCAAAGTAGCACTTCGACCTATTTTCAAAGCTAGCGACAGAAAAGGAGTGCCAGATGCGATAAGAGAGACCCAGGCGCCCACCCCTTTTCCTGCCGTTTCATTCGTTGCTGCTTGGCGCGAAAGTAAGATTGCACAGTATTCGCAGCCCTTGAGATGATCTCGAACTCCGTGCATGACGCGTACAGCTCCCAAGCCCGCGCTTCGACTTTCAACGTTGTGCGAAGTAAGATAGCAGTGTCAGGTCAGTCTGGCGGCCAGATCGAATCTGCAAGGTGTATTGGCGCACCTGTATGACTTGGACAAACAACCAACTTGACACTACTGCAAAACGATACCCCTGCGGACGACTTTACAAACCCTGTACTGTCTTACAGACCCCTGCATAATCACTCGTCAGCTTTTAAAGCTTCCTATAACGAGGTGTGCGAGAGAGTTCCGTCGCAATCCTGATTGCCGTTCATCCGTCCCGCCATCCTTTGGTCCAAACAGACCTGGTTGCTTAATCAGCAGGGTTGAAGGGGCCCTCGATGAACCCATTGAAAGCTGGCGACAACGTCTGTGCAGCCATGTACTGCAGCTCTTGCTGAGGCTCTGGTTATCTGAGGGCAAACAAGTGCCTGAGGATGACATCAGGACACGGTAGTCGCTTTCACGCGATGGAGGCCGCATCATTGCATGGCTCGAAAGGTAAGAGAAAGTCACGGACGTCGCGGTGCTAAGGGAGTCCGGTCCTCTCGTTCCGGTGCAAATTCGTCTGCGCGCAGACCGGAACCATCAAATTGGACGATCTAGCTCGGAGTCGCAGGCTCAGCTAAGCTGCAAAGCTCGGCCTGAGGGCTAAACATTGTAAATTACAAGTTTTAGCTGGGCGGCGAGGGTGGGCCACCTTCTGTGAGCATCTTCAGCTGTGTCTTCCTCCTGCCCAAAGTTGACAGGCATGGCTGCAGACAAGGGGTGCATCCGGAGGTTGCAGAAAGAATTCAAGCAGTTGTGCAAGGTGATCTGCCCTACGTCTATCCCTCTTGGTTCTGCAGTCAGGGATTGAGGATTATTAAGAGCCCAACTCAGAGCCCAACCAGGGAAAAGATTGGCGTGCTGTTATCTGTGGCACATGTACAGCTTCGCATAAAAGGCTGATAGATGCATAGTATTGTTGCATCTAGACTACGGGCTGCATTGAACGATGTCCAGAACTATGGACAATGCTGAGCTTTGACCAACTTGTTGGACGAAGACCTTGTGGAGATTTTGTAACGTTTTGATGGCCTTTCCTTCCTCCTTCTGCAAGTATATAGCTAGAACTTTCTTTCTGTGCAGGAACCACCACCAAACATCAAAGCGAAACCTTCACCCGACCAGATACTTGAGTGGCGTAAGTGATATCTTGAACTTGGACAAAAGACAAAACAGGCATGATGAAATCATTAAGCAAGAATAGGTGAACTATGATCGAAAATTCTTGTCAGACTTTTTGGACCTCTTGGATTGAAAAGGCTGTGTCCTTTGTGACTCTGATCTTTCATTTTATGCACTTTTTTGCACCCGGATGAGCTGCTTTTTTGTTCTCCTTGGTCCAGCAAAAGATACAGAGCACCGACTGACCCTGAATGTTTGATTGCACAGATTATGTCTTGGAAGGAAGCGCTGGCACTGCCTTTGAAGGTAAGAAGCAATTGTCGATTGACACCGAATGCCCCTCATTTTGCTCAGCACTGCTTTCACCTCAGAGAGTCCATTCAAAGCGGAGATCCGTTCGCCACAGAAGCCCTTATGTAGATCCTCGAAAAATTGATGAAAGTCACCACAGCTTTGACCCCTGTCCAGGTGGTGTGTACTGGGGCAAAGTGATTTTCCCAAAAGACTACCCATTCAAGGCCCCGAGTATCAGGTAAGATGAGCTGGCAGGCACCATCGATGCTAAGAAAATTTTATTTTTCAGGCATGTCAATCTTCGTCCATGCGCACACACTGTTTCCTGAATCAAGCACCCATGTTGCCTATTCGGTGTTGTAACATCTGAATAAACGGCCAATAAGGGCTAACACGTGTCCACCTTCCACAGGATGGTCACTCCCAATGGCCGATTTGCCCCCAACGCAAAGATCTGCATGTCCATGACAGACTGTGAGTCCTTCCAAGCTGATTACATAACATGATTGAGATCCTCCGTTGCCTTTGTTCTGGCTGAATTGGGCACAATCCGAAGATAGTCATATCTCTTGAAAACCTGATTCATCTCTTCGAAAACTTTCGTTTGTGGATCCTGGAAGATAGCAGACTTTCATCTCCATTTGATTTGGTTGCTTCCATGCATCTTGATACTCCCAGTGTCGTAAAAAGGTCTCCTTCATTTGTGACTTCTGCCGTTCCGTCTGCAGTCCATCCAGAGACCTGGAACCCCATGTGGTCCGTTGCCAGGTAAGGACACATAACTACTGAGTGTTTCTCCCTCGACCTTTTGAGTATCTTTATGTCCCCAAAGATGCAGAGATTCTACTCGATCCTAATGAAGGCGGCTCTGAAAGTTCTTGAATGACCGTTGCACGGATCGCTGTTCGCTTTGAGATGTAGAGGCTGTCACCGGTGACAATCCGTTCGCCTGCTCAGCATGCTAGATGTCGACTTCGGAGTGTTGAGACCAGTTTTGACACCTACTGGTTTATATTGCTTCCGCTGATTTTAGACGTTGCTCTCTTGTCGCAGCATTCTGACGGGGTTACTTTCTTTCATGGTAGGTCAAAAACGAACCTTTCTCAGCCCGACCCTTCATTGACTCATCTTTATAGGTACAACTACATGAATTGCGGTCACTGTCATGTTGCGTGCTGCCTTTTATGCAGCTGAGGAAAGAGGTGGAAGAGTAGTCCGTTTTTCATTCAAGATCTTTTCTTTGCAGAACGATGACGTTTTGACGTCGGGCAGCGTAAGTTCCACCGCAGCAGAAAAGAAGCAGCTGGCCGCAGTCTCCTTAGAATGGAATTTGAAAAGGTGAGGGACCGTTCGTGCATCATCTGACATGCTGGCTGTCAATTCCTTGCCAAAGCGGCAACTCACCGAAACACTTCCTACCCAGCAAAAGTGTCACAAAACGGGTGTAAAAAACTTTCGACTTTCGGCGGAAATTGCTGAAATCGACATACCCATCACTGTAGGGAAGGTTTAAGGGGAGCGCAAGAAGGCATTGTCCCCGGTGGTGTATTTTACCATCATATTGTTGGACGTAACCCATCCGCTAGATTGTGACTTGCTTACCACTTGGTAAATGCACTGCTCTCTAAAGATGGTCGAATGTAAACGTTGATGGACATGTGTAGGACTCAGAGTATCCTTTCTGTTTCAACGTTTTCACCGCAGCCCTATCTTCAAGAAACTATTTCCGGAATACGTGGAAGAAAGCGAGCGGCGAAAAGAGAGGCAACGAGCAGAGGAGCTGAGGGAACGATCGAGGAAAGAGAGCGGGCAGTCTGGAACGCAGCAAGGGGCTCCTCAAGATAGTCGAAGCAAGCAAGGTCTGCCACTGTGGGCAGGTGCTGCGATTGGGTGCGTTTTGTTGGGCATCATCTTGTTGCCAGTATTGACATTGGATTTTGCACCTCCTGTAAAGTAAAACGGTTCATCAGCGGCTGCGCTTTGGCTTCCTACCGTTGCCAGAATGTGTTTGCATGGGTGACAGTGATTGCACAGCTTGCCATACTTGATCGATAATGCATCAAACCTTTGTATGCAGTACGTCAGGGACCATGCTCCTCAAAGCCTGGCCACTCCATGCTTGAGTCCCTGTACCTGAGCTTGTAACCAATCAAATTACGTACTGATCATTATGGACGGTGTACCTAGTATCGTTGATACTCACGTATACTATGCACATGGACAACAGGATTGAAGTCGAATCGTGATCTGCCAGCTCGCAATCGATTCTAGGTCACAATTATGGTGAATCGATCATCCAGAATTGCTCGGTATCACACGGGGGGGCGGCTCACGGACATGCATATCCCGACCTAGTAGGCTCGTAGCTCATTCTGGAAACGAATCCGGCGACCACGATTTGAGTGCTAATTCTGGACTTTTCCCTCGTCCCAGTTTATATCGCACTGACTGTCGGAGGTGCCTACTTGATCAAGGGTAGCTCCACTAGAGCAATTTGACTCGAGTTGCATTTGCTATCAGCTTTGGGAGCGGTTGCAATTTTATCTCGTAGCCGGATCGCGGCGCGTTCTTTGATCTCAATGTTAGCTTCTGTCCTTCGACAACGCGCCATGAGCTTATTTGCTCGATAGGTACAACTCTTATCCTACATTCGTAAACAGTTAGCCGCCCCCGTTATGATCCGTCACAATCTGCTCGAGCACCCTTTTCAGGTCCTCCGTGCCCTCTCCAAGGACCGCACACGTCGGAAAGACCGGCAAGGGTGTGCGCGCACGGAGCTCCTCGAGAGCCTCAACCGCGCCCGACTCGTCCATCTTGTTGGCAATCACGATGGACGGTCGCTTCGACAAGCCCTCCTGCGGACAGCGTCGAAGAAACAACATCATCTTTAGTAACTAACTGAGTCCAAAAGTTGGCGACCTGAAGCATACTCGATAAGCTAACCATGTTTCTTTCAGACTTTTGCACTTTGTTCAATCGCACTAAAAAAGCCTCGGCGCACAAAACATCGACGACCGCAAAAGTTTTTTGACAGTCAGGGACAAGGCTTTACTGCTCCGAGCTTCGACCGATGCAGGAGGCTGGGCGTCAACTGTGACCGAAAAGAATAGCTTTTCAAGTCTGATCCGCAAACACTCAGCCGTTCCTGCATATCACCGTGCATCTTTCAAAACACGGGCACCTCTTTCAAACGTTCGCTCCTTAGCCCTACCTCGCATTGGAAACCGCCTTACGCTGACAGTATATTGTTGACCAAAATCTTTCTTCGAAGCCGTGCCCATCAATCGTCCATTGGGCCACACCGACCTGCGGCTCACCTCATAATGTTCCAGCTCGGACACCAGATCGTCGAGCTGTTCCCAGGGTCTTTTCGGGTTGGGCTTGCTGGCCCCCGCCCGCCCCACCGCCTTGATCCAACCCCCGGCCATGTCCAGCACGTACGCCAGCACGCGCGTCCGCTCCACGTGCCGCAGAAAGTTGTGGCCCAGGCCGCGGTTCGCGTGGGCGCCCTCGATGAGCCCCGGGATGTCGGCGATCTGTCGGGGAGAAGGATGAAAGGGCTGATGGCAAGACGGTTGTGTGTGGACCATGCGGCTGCGTGCACTCGGACGAATCGCATAGAAAGTGAGAGCTGGAGGTACGACAGCAGCAGAGTTGGACTATGAAGCTGCTTTAACGAGAAATGGTAGGACGAACCGGTAGGACTTAAAAAGGAAGGTGGGCAGATTACGTTGAGCAAGTGTTCGAAGATAGACACTTTTCACAACCTGTCTACCTTCTTCTCGTCCTTACTGGTGATGAAGGGCTTACACCGAGCTCGTGTACAATAAGTCGAAAATCAAAAGCGATGCCAATCGCATGAGTCCTGGCAAAATAGATAGGGCTTAAGCAATATGGAGAGGCGACCAGACGGATGAGCACAGAGCGCAAAGTCGGGGCTCGGACTCACCGTGTATGCAAACCACTGGTCACATTCGACCGTGCCTATGTGGGGCCGGAGCGTGGTGAAGGCGTATGATCCTACTGCGGGCCTTGCCGGTGACAGTGCTGCGAGCAGGGTGCTCTTGCCTGCGTTCGGCATGCCCACTGCAAAGCACGAGTCACCAGGTTCATGTTTTCTGTGCCGAAGGAAAACGGGGCTATCTAAAGCTTTTGAAGTCAATCGTGCCCATGACCACAGCTCTACAACAAGTTCGAAAGAGTGAGTGCATGTTGTTATGGGAGTGCTTGGTAGGTAAGCTGCTTCCACCGACAGCGTTTACTCCACTTCGAGCTCACGAGATAACAAATCCGATTTTTGAAGTTTAAAGGCCAATAATCGAACACATCAGTACACGGCGAAAGTAGTCCACTACTCAAGCACTGGTACTTTAGAACGACCTAATGATGACATTGAAAGGTAACGAAGTGTTTATAAGCCAGATTGGAAACCATAAGACGCGTTTTCGCCACTCAACCACTTAACCTTCAAGCCAAGCAAAACGCTCACCCAGGCCCACGTCTGCCAGCATCTTCAATTCCAGCTCCAGCCACATGCGCTGCCCATGCTCCCCCGTCTCGTGCTCGTTGATCTGCAGCTGCCCCACCTTCCGCTTGAACCACGGCTTCTCGCCCTTCCGCCCCGTAGCCGCATTGCCCCGGCCCCCACACCCTCCCACCGCGGCGACTAACCTATGGCCCTCTTCTGTGAGGTCCGCAATCACAGGACCTTTTAGATGAGAACCAGAGCCTTTTTTGGCAGGAGAAGTATCGTGTTCTTTGCTGGTTGATAAAGCAGGATCCGGCGGCACTCCTCTTCTGTCCCTATCCAAAACATTCTGTCTTTCGGCATTTTCGAAGTTCGCGCTGTACCTCCCGTTCACATCAGCAAAGGACTGAGTTTCGCGGTCTACTGATGATGCTGAACAATCGCTCGAGCTGGTCCCCGACGGACTATCCCCATGCAAACTGCTCGGAGCGCCCTCGCTTCCTCTGTCTGTTTCGGAAGAGACTCCGCTTCCTGTTCCCTCAACTAAGCCACCCTCCCTTGCCTCTCCTGTTACCCCTGGGGCAGCCTCCTCCCCACTTGAGCCCTCCCCCTGATCTGCGCGCCGGCTTTCTCCCTCGTTGTCCTTTTCCCAGGTCTTCCAGTCATCGTCTGCCAGCTCAGCAACAGCTGCTGAAATTTCGGACGGTTCATGCTCCCGTCTCTGAAACTTGCGCACCACCGTCCCCACCGGCACCAGGACCAACTTGTCGCGCCCCCGGCTGCCCACCTGGTTCTTCGACGTCCCCGCCCCTCCCTTCTCCCCCCGCACAGTGGTCGTGATCCCCCCCAAATCGTAGACCTTTCTGGATGCCACAAAGATGACGTCGCCGCCCCTTCCCCCGTTTCCCCCTGTAATGACCATGATGAGCGGATCGAGACTTGCACCCGTGCGTCAGCATTCTGATGGTGCAAGTCAAACGGTCTGTATGTACCGGCATGAAACTGGCGCATGAGATCTAGCCACCTTTAGGATTTAAGAATCGCCCCCGACAATGAAGAAGGAGCCTTATATAGAAACATAGCCCTCATGATGATTCAAGCGGTGTTCAGTGGGTACATACCATCCGCAAAGCCTTTCCTTTGCAGGCGACCGCGGTGGTATGATGTGCAGCCTGCGCCCCCGTCGCCTGCCACAACATTAACGCGTATCCGATCTACAAAGCGGCGCTCCTGCAATAAAGGACAAGTTGCGCAATTCAAGTACCACCAACTTGTTCATCTTATGATGCAATTTGAGTATATGCATTTCTTTGGATGATCTTTCTTGACGAAGAGAAGGTCCAGTTCTCATGGATTTTTCAGTACAGAGAGGGGGTCAGGCTGCAGTAAAGGGTTTCTACCACCACTTGTTCACCACCACCACCACCACCACCACCACCACTATCATCGTTCCTCAAGATCAAGGAGACAAATAAGTGATTGTCCTGAATCTATCTACTTCAAAACCTTTGGCGCCCAACAAGCTTACATCAACCAAATTCGGGCAGCATTGCACGCACCGTATCCGGCTGCACATCCTCTTGGTCCCAAGCTGCTTCTGCTGCAACGAAAGATCCATAGTTCCTAGAGTGTCCCAAGTTGGAAGGGGGAGACGTAGCAGGTCGTACGAAGTTCAGTCGCTCTGACGCAAGTGCACGGGACCTTATGTACTCCAGGGCAAGAGTGGTCTGCTTCAGCAGAGCTTGGTGCTGCTTCTCCAAGGAGGCGACCAGGATGCGAAGCGACATTGTTGACATCAGAATATCAATTAACAGCTCAGCCTACAGAAATGTGTTGCCAGGTATGTAGGCAGACATTCTCCTTGCCAGCTACGTACCAGTGGTCCTGTTTTGTGCAGTGGATGTAGACAACCACCTCGAAGGCAGCTAGACTCCAAAGAGGTGGGCCTGAACGGTGAACCACGGCCCCAGAGCCGAGCAGCGAGCTAGGTACCTATCTCAGTCTCGACGAGGGGTGACGGTACGCACCTCCTGGCAACCAAGACTCCGCTACCATGAGGAAAGTGAGACCAATAATCCGTACCGAGACTACTTCACAACTTCCCGGGGACTGGTCTCGGTCGCCACATCCTTCAGTGGTACGTACCTACCTTAAACTTTTGGAGAGGTTCACACAGGGTTCACAGTCCAGTTTGAACACAGGCCGCATTCTTCAGGTTGCAATTGCCTTGCCAGGATTCCAGAAGGCGCTTTCAAATCCATCAACTTCAGCAAGCTCTCAGGGGATATGGCGGCTCTAGCTCAGCGCTCGGCTCTTTCAGGTGCTCAGTCATTGAGCACCTCATATGGTGCTTCAAACAAGCAGTCGGTGCAAATTGCTGCGTGTCTCCCAGCACGGGTGCAGGCCCAGCTTTCTCAATACGAAGGGCTTCGGAAGGGTGCTCTGGTCCAAAATGAATCTCCTTTCTCAGGCAAGGCAGTGACAAAGTCCATGTCTCGTCAGTCGACCAGTGTATGTCGTGCAGTGGCGACCGAGGTAGAGAAGGAGACTGAAGTTTCTCTGAACATCGCAGAAGATGTTACGGAGGTAAGTTTGTCAGCCCTTGAGAGTTTTAGTCATACTGAAATTGCAAAAGGCATCTTGATGTACAGTTGCTTCTGGTCAATTGCTCGTTGCTGCATCATGCCATCCGAGTGCGTGCTAATCTTTAAGAGATGGTAGCTCCAACAATCTATAGCAAGATTTGACCAAACCTCTTGTAATCCAATTTCAATCAGCCTTTCTCGAAATTCCGAATATCCCTGACGCTAAGCCCAAAGGCTGACGTCAAAATTTTAGGCGATTCAATCGCTGCAATTGTACAACCATTCCATCTTCTTTTGTTTCTAATCTATGAGCCCCCGTTTCTGCAGCTTATCGGAAAGACACCCATGGTGTATTTGAACAAGGTTGTCGATGGTTGTGTCGCTAACATTGCGGCAAAGTTGGAGATCATGGAGCCCTGCTCCAGTGTGAAGGATAGGTAGGCTTTGAATCCAGATTCTGCTGATGCAGGCGGACATTTTCAGGTTACAATTGGAATAGGAGTGCTGTATGTTGTGCTTCGAATGGCCGTATGTTGTGCCTTGAATTAGGCGGTGGTTCACAAGCAATGAACTATCCAAGAGGAGGATATGACTCTTGCCTATTTTGACACAGGCTGAGCAATTTAGGCGGCCTGATTGCAAGTCTTGGGTTGCTCTACCTCCTAAATGCTACCAATTGGTATTTTTAGTGCTCTTACCGTAAGAATGTCCGGTGCGCTTTAGAAAACTGCGAGAATCATCGGTTTTTTTGCTGCAGAATTGGGAAGAGCATGATTGAGGACGCTGAGGGGGCTGGCAAAATCATCCCTGGAAAGGTAAATGGACACGACCAGGGCCTTCGCCTGTGTAAAGTCTCGGTTGTATTCTTGCCACGCAAATATGCTGCTTGTTTCATAGCTGGTCCCTTTTTTCAGCTTGAAAGCAGTACTCCTTTTGCTTTATCCAATAATGTTAGCATATCCCAATGATTGGCTTGTTTTACATGGTCAAGTCCTTAGTGGAAGAATTGCATACTTTGCGAAACGGCCAATCTGGGGCCTTCTTTCCTTGCAGACAACTCTGGTGGAGCCGACAAGCGGCAATACTGGCATTGGGCTGGCATTCATTGCTGCGGCCAAGGGGTACAAGCTCATCCTGACCATGCCTGCCTCCATGTCGCTGGAGCGCCGCATCCTGCTCAAGGCCTTTGGGGCGGAGCTCGTCCTGACGGACCCGGCCAAGGGGATGAAGGGCGCGGTGCAGAAGGCCGAGGAGATCCTGAAGAAGACCGACAACTCGTACATGCTGCAGCAGTTTGAGAACCCTGCCAACCCAAAGGTGGGTGGCCGTGCTAGGAAGCTGGTGCATGCCTTCATTTATCTATTTCAGAGGGCTGATCTTTCTGATTTTTCAGCTTCCGCATATTTTTAGCATAGGTCCTCAGGAATATCTGCTGTGTTTTCCAAGAGATAATCTTATGGACACCATCGATCTAGCGCAGATCCATTTCGAGACGACTGGCCCTGAGCTCTGGGAGGATACGGCCGGGAAGATCGACATCCTTGTCGCCGGGATTGGGACAGGTGGCACTGTGACTGGAGCAGGGAGCTTCCTTAAGAAGCAGAACCCCAAGATCAAAGTCATTGGCGTGGAGCCCAAGGAGAGCAACATCCTGTCTGGCGGCAAGCCAGGTAGGCGGCCACAACTTGATGCAATCTGAGCATCAGATACCTCTCTTACCCCGTATGGGTACGACATCAATTTGCCTTTGCCTTCTGTAGGAAGGAGGGATCAAACAGAAGCATTGGAGCGGTGGTGTAGTGAGGTGTTTTCGAGGAAGCGGCTTGCTTTTAAAATCTTTTGTGAGCTGGGTAAACTTGACAACGCATGATCTTCTTACGCATTGGTGCACGATGTTGTGTGCAGGCCCTCACAAGATCCAGGGCATTGGGGCTGGATTTGTTCCAGGGATTCTGGACGTCGACATCCTGGATGAGGTGGTTCAGGTATATAGACTCTGGACTAGTCGTGCTCATTGCGGAAAGCGTTCTGCTTGCTTACAGGGTTTTTGTGACCCGTTGCTACAGACATCCTCTTCAGGTGGAACTTGTCAAACCTCAACATGTTATTTGATTTCAATCAGTAGCTGTGTTTGAAGCTTTTCCTGTGTGTAAGATGCTGAGCACCACCAGAGAGCTTGTCTAATCAAGTCGAGAAGTCAAAAGGGTCGCTTTTTGCTTTGGACAAACTATACCTGCTTTATGTTTGGCAGATTTCGAGCGCGGATGCTGTCGAGATGGCCAAGGAGCTGGCTCTAAAGGAGGGCCTTCTTGTTGGAATCTCTTCGGGTGCCGCTGCAGTTGCAGCTGTCCAGATTGCAAAGCGGCCAGAGAACGCAGGAAAGCTGATTGCGGTAAGAGTTTGGACTTATTCGAGACATCTCGAAAGAGCTGCCTGCAGTATCATCACTGCTATCTTTGTTGGTGGAATGCATGGACTGTGGATCATCAATGGCAAGCTTTTTGCGACAATTTGTCAAGTCGACGAGCACATGAATTCTGTGTGATTCATTCTAGGAGACTAGAATGGACAGCAAGAGTACGCTAATGGGTCGTTGATGTTCGAGCCTGATGGCATGAAAAACCGCTCTTAGAGTTTTGATGCCTAACTTCGTGCTGGTATGTACAGGTTGTTTTCCCCAGCTTCGGAGAAAGGTACCTTTCGTCTGTCCTTTTCCAGTCGATCAGGGAAGAGGCAGAGAAGATGCAAGCATCGTAAAGCGACCAGCAATTGGCAGTCAATTGACTGCGCCCTAGAGTCAGGGCGAATCAGCTCTTTACAATCTCTGACATCAAAGGTCTTGAGGGGTGTAGGCGCTGAGATGGTTGCAGTCTACAACACTCTCTTTCTTGCTTTCCATGAGAGAGCACCCATGGAAAGCCACATCATAGGTGTACGATCGTCATGCTCTATGCAGAATTAAAGAAAAGATGCCACTTTCAAAGAATCTTATCTCGTACAAAGCCCTACGAAAGTTTCTTTTTGCATACACTCCTTGTTGTGAATTGTGACTTACCGGCATTTTCCAGAGTTGACCAACGCGATACTTGGGCAAATATGGTCCTCCTAAGGAGCTCGGACCAACTTGAACCTCAACTTTCTGGCGTTAGAGTTTCCAAGAGTCCATGCGGTTTCTGGTTTTAAAGGTTCGAGTCTACGTGGCAAATATTCCGAGCGCCTGCGTGTGAAAGCCGTGCCTAGGCAGCATCAGATCCTGTCTGCTTGATGGGTTAGCGGATACAACCCCGAGTATTAGGGGAAGGTCACTTTGAAGTGGTACCCCCCTTTATGATTTGTAGAGGGTTTTCGCCGGAAGCGCTGAGTCCCCCCCCCATACCCACGGCCCAAGTCGGACTGGAGCGTCGGGCCCCCATCCCATATAAAAATATGAATCAGTGCTCTGGGTACCCCCCCCATATTTGTGTTTTGAGAAGCCCAAATTTGATGGGTAAGCCGCTTATGAGGGCATATAAGCCCGTATTGTTTTGTCATTTGCCAGTTGAAAAGTTAAAGGTGGTTGCTTTGGTGCAATTCTCTGGGAATTTTTCACGGACTTGAGTTCATATACGTCATTTGAAGCTTGATTCAGCCTCAAAATCACATAACAATGGAGACCGCGCTCCGTGCCCCCCCCCCTTGAGCCCCCTTGAAGCCCAAGCTTATTAGGCTCCCCCCCCCATCAAGCCCGCCCATGAGCGAAGTGTAGGTGGGTCCCCCCCCCATACGGGCCCTGACCCGCGCTCTGAGCCCTAGGCTCCCCCCCCTCACAAATCATAAGGGGGGGTACCACTTCAAAATGACCTTCCCCTTATCAAATCGCCATCAACTGACCCACTTCAGATGCCGTCCGTTTGGAGTAGGTTACCGAATTTTGATAGACACCCCTAGTGTTTTGGCGCGGCCATCAATCCAACTCGCCGGGATGGTCTCATTTC